TAACTGCGGCACTCTTCGAGGAGGCGAATAAGGTAGGGTCGATGTCATTTTTCGACAACACATCATTAACTCAGTATCTAACATGACTGGAATAGATGGTCGCCGCTGCGAAGCTGGAGCGTGAGGCGGTCGAAAAGAAGAACGAACAATTACGAGCTCAGGTGAAGGACACAGAATTACTCCTTGCATCTCATCAAGAACAGCTAGCCGAGCTTAAGTCTGTGATGCAAGGAATGAATATTGCCAAGGACGATGTCGAAGTTCGCACCACCATTTCCACAGCGCCATCTTCGCCAGGTGGGCATCAACAATTACCAGGTATATTTTCGAGGAGCTCGGCGACTGCCGATCTTCCCGAACAGTCGCTGCACGTGGAGGAGATCGTTCCAGGCCCCTCAACCAGTTTTCCTCATCTGTTCAAATCAGTATGTCGGACGGATATTCAGGCCTTCGAAGATTTCCGAGAACTGTTCAGTTTATCGAGTGCGTCGAAGCCGCCAAGCAGGGCTGCCAGTGGTTCTTACGCCGGCTTGAATGTTATGAGTTTAGCCAATTTCAGCAGTGCTGGGTTTGGTTCGGCATCTTCATCCCCCGCCAAGTCCACTCATTCGCCGAATGGGAGCATGTCATCCCCTCAGCCTGCCACCTCCCATATCCCGCTCAAAGAAACGCGCTTCTACAAACGCGTGCTCATGGAGGACATTGAACCTACTCTTCGGCTGGATGCTGCGCCCGGGATCTCGTGGTTGACGCGACGTGCGGTGTTGAGCAGCATCTGCGAAGGAAGTCTCGTTGTTGAACCGATCCCGCCTGCAACAAGGAAATATGGATTCCCATGTTCACTCTGTGGTGATCGTAGACCTGGATCTGCCAACGAGAGAACACATCGCTTTAGGACATCCGACAGTGATACGGCTCAGCGCTATCCTTTGTGTGTCCTTTGTCTAGAAAAGGTTCGCTCTTCTTGTGAATTTACTGGCTATCTACGTCTTATCTTGGATGGTCATATCCGTGCGGGCGATGCAGAAGAGGAGAAGGACGCTTGGGAAGAAACAGTTCGCTTGAGAGAGCGCATGTTTTGGTCCCGCATCGGCGGAGGGGTTGTCCCTACGTTTGCTCAGGCGAATGGCTTTGAAAACGCTGGTCCGTCTCAATCCAGACGTAACTTGGGAGACCCGATAAGGGATGATGAGCAAGATCGGCTTGATGCTCCTCTTGAGACATGTGAAACTCACGATCATGACAACGACCACGGAGTTTCGGACTCCGATTACGACAATGCATCCGTGAGTGGGTATACTTCCGCGTCAGGCGTTTCAAGGCCATTCTATGACAGTCCCAAGTCTCATGCTTCGGAGAAGGAGAGAGACGAGTATCTTGAACATGGCGTGAGTCAAGTGACACTATCTGCGACTAGTGACGACCCCAAGTCTATCACTCATGTTGAGGAGTCCCTCGTTATTCGGACCGCGAAGAATGATGACGACCATGATGATGATCGAAGCTGAAGACTTTCGCCTCAGCTTTCTCTCTGTTTTGCATCTACGATACAACTGTCCTTCATTTAGGAGACCCCCTTTGCTGCCGCTATTCTTCAACTTACATGTCCATTACCCTTCATGCATAGCTGCCCGTCAACGGCTCAACCGCGCAGCAGGCTACGTGTATTATTAATTAATATGGAGCTGCGGCCCGAATGTTTGTACTCATAATATGCTCCTTTTTGCTCTTCTTCCCGCTTATTTTTACCATTTTCTTTGTGGGGTTGTTCAAGACTGTTTTGACATGGCTTCCTTCCGATCGAGCATACAGCTGTTCCTGACATCAACCCATTCTATCCAGCGTGTTGTTTCTTATTCTGCTTGCTCATACCTGCACTTTCGGCCCCTTTTATCCGTCGTTTCCATTTGATTTTCATCGGAAAAGCCTTCAGGGTTTAATATATGGAGTGAATGGTGCACAGCATGATTTTGTGTCTGGTACATGACATCTACTTGCACATATATGATAGATCTCTGCAGATAATGATGAACTATTCGGTAATATTGACTGATCGTCCTCCACCTTCAAAGTATATACACTTTTATGTCAGCATGCCCATCAGTATCGTGGTGATGATGACAGCTCGGCGCTGTATCAAGTCTTCGACGGCCCTACTTGGAGTAACACAGAGTGTTCATGGATTTTGAGAGAATTCTACTCATTGCGCAGTCAAACATCCAAAAGAATAACCATTAAAGGAAGGGATAAAAACTCGGCAACCCTCAAATTTGATAGTGACCAAGGAAGCAAGAAGTGATACTTTACAGGTGAAGTCATGCGCCTTTTCGTAGAAAGAGAGTCCAAGGATAAGTACTCCAGAATGAGAAACGCCTCGAAACAATTTAGTTTTGCCCCCTGCTATTTTCTAATGGTCTAACCCTGCTTGTAACGTTCGTGAATTTGTCGAATCTGCTCCTCGATATTCAGACTCTGAGGGTTGGGCGGGCCCCCTGCAGGACCAACCATCGGCGGTGTGGGCCCCGCTCCAGAGGGGTTCTCGTAGGCCATTCTTTTCTTCCTTGCTTCCTCCTCAGGATCGAGGCCTGCGGTGAGTGATGAATCAAATACGTCGCTTCGCTGGCTCGCCAGCCGTTTCAGGTTATTGACCACATCGGCGGTCGACAGATTCGTGGTGGCGCTCCGCGACTCGGCCTTGGCGCGCTGCTCCTTCCACCGGGGATCAAGCAGTTCGATACGCATGTGCTGGTCGAGTTCAGCCACAGGGATCTGCTGGTGACAGTTGGGGCAGAGTGCAGTGGCGCCGGAAGGATTGAGGCGACGCGCTTGCGCGCGCGGTACGTAGTCGGAGCGGATGCGCATCGGTTGCTGTCCGGGGGCCGCTTTGGCAGCTGCTTGTGCGGCGGCGGCCTGTTCTCGAGCCTCCATCCGCTCCCGAATCCGTTGCTCTTCTTCCTGCGCGGCGGCGGAGGCCATAGGATAGGGTTGCGGTACCGGTGCTTGAGGAGGATATGGTGAAACGGACGGAGGGGCAGGATGTGCCACCGGCTCGGGTTGTGCTGGAGGATAGGCGTTGTAGTAGACTTGGGCTTCCTGGTCTGTTGGCATCGCTTCTTCGATCCGCAGTGGGTTTAGCGACATCATAGCTTTTTGTTCCAGGGAGGCGGATTGTAGATCGTTGAGAGATGTAGGTGGGGGGTAGGTCGGCCTGATCGTCCGCTTCAGTGAAGAGAACAGTCTCTACTACCACGAAGTCATGCCAGTCGATCTGCGCATAGGCTATTCGTTCTTGTTCCTCCTCCTCTTCCTTCTTCTGTTTCTGTTGCTCTTGGTACTTCACCCACTCAGCGCGCTGTTTCGCCCGCTCCAAGATATGGAATTTGTTCTTCACATTGTTTTCTAGTTCGGCGATTCTGCGCTTTTCTGACGTGGACTCGTCGATTCCTTCTGCTCTTAACAGGATGGTATATTGATCGACCAGCCGAGTGAAAAATTGATAGAGACTGTGCTGCGGGCGAAGAAAATCGAACTGAAAGTTTCTCGCTTCGCGCTGCGACAGAGCGGTCATAAAAGACTTGCCCCTCTTAGCGACATAGAGCGCCGTGAGTTTAACAACCTCCAGATCCTGTGCGTTGATTATAGGCATCCGAGCCGAAAAGTGAAATTCCGGTGGCTCTGCGGGCCCCTTGGGCTTCTCTGGTTCTGGAGCTGCCGCTGGCTCGCCTGGACGACCTGCTGCTACTGTGGTCCCTCTTCCTTCTTTGATCTCGTTCAACCGCCACTGATAGAAGCTCGCATAAGCATCCCCGGGGTTCAAAAAGGAGAATTTCGGGTTGTTTTTCTCTTTTTCGCGCACACGCTCTGGAAGAGTACTGTTAGCTTACAATGGAACATGAGATCGATGGAATCGACGTATAGCGATGGCGCACCTTCGAAAACAAATCCGTTACGAGCAACATAGCCTGCAGTTTTCTCCACAATAGCTAAATGAAATGTTAGCATATATCTCCAGCAAAAACCTTTAGGGGGACGAACCTCGAATGTCTTTAGGTGGCAGAACCACACCCTCTGGAGGTTTGTTCACCTCATCTGGAAGAGTTGGAGTATTCCCGTTAGAAGCCATATCCAATTCCAGGATCAGAACGACGATGGAAAATGTCAGGACGGTGTGGTTGCTGTCCTTGACTCCGCCGGCGTGCTTTTTGCCCTGGGACTGACTTCATTGGGATGGAAAGTTGCCGCGCCCTGTTGGCGGCTATCGGGTAAACGCGCGCATAGACACTTACTATTATTGGTGGGGCTTTTCTAAGGACAGCTAAAAATTACAGCTAGTAATTTTTGTCACAAACTTTATAGCGGTACTTCGTATTCGGTACATAAGGTACCTTACCTTTGTTCCTAGGTACATCCGCATCCGGGCTACTTGGTCCTAATCGATTGCGGCTGCAGGTACTTGGAGGTTCTAAGAATGGAGTTGAATGGCGGCCAGAGATATTCATTTGATAATAAGCCTTGGCTGGAGAGACGTTTCAAAGTAAAGTCAACAATTCCTATGAGATAGTTACGTACCTGCCACCAAAACTCGCCCTTCGCAGTGGTTCCTACCTAGGTACTTCGAACACGCCGGCCCCATACTACCCTTACTTAGCTCTTGTCCGCCTCCGCTGACATCTGGCCTAAACTGAGCTGACGCTTTCTTCGACCTCCTGATTGTTCACATGTTGTCCTACTTTTGCTACTCCTTTCGATAGTAGCCTTCCTCCTCTTCCTTTCACCTTTTAATTTTGTCATGGCGAGTCGCATTTCGATTCATTACTCTCGTTTATAACCCAAATCCAGTTTGGTTTCATCCTTTGGCGTGGGGTAATCTAAGAGCTCCCCTCTGGAGTCGGAGCATTCTACCACTCGTGCCAGATTATTTCGCTGTCTGACAGCATAATTTCTTTACTTGATATTTGATCTATCTACTTTCGCTCCAATTGCGGGAGCACCAATCAGACATGTCGCAAAAATCGAAAGAGACCTTACAGGTCAAGCCTTTGCCCAGAAAAGGCCGCTCTCCAAGTCGCTCTCCGAGACCGAAGGATCGCAAGAAAGTGCCGGCAGACATATCAAGCTATGGATCGGAGGGTGTCAAGGATAACAATATATTCCACCTTCCCACTTCGGACTATAAGGCGCTCGTCTTGGTCACGCTTGTTGCTCTAGTTGTTCGTCTCTTCCGAATCTATCAGCCTTCTAGCGTCGTTTTCGATGAAGTCCAGTACGTCTTCATATCGCTTTTTGAATGCACATATTATCGGTACGCTATGATGCTAATAATTGGGAACAGCTTTGGCGGCTTCGCGAGCAAATATATAAAAGGCAGATTTTTCATGGATGTGCACCCTCCTCTCGCCAAACTGCTCATCACACTTGCTGGCTGGCTGGCTGGTTTTGATGGTAATTTTGACTTCAAGGACATCGGCAAGGATTATCTTGAGCCTGGAGTCCCATATGTTGCTATGCGCTTGCTTCCAGCCGTATTGGGTGTCCTTACTGTTCCTTTGATGTTTCTGACCCTGAAAGCGAGCGGTTGCCGAACTATAACTGCTGTCCTCGGGGCCGGAGTCGTAATCTTTGGTAAGATGATACTGATATATATATATTTGACCAAACTATGTTCGCTGACCATCTGCAGAAAATGGTCTAATCACTCAATCCCGTCTAATCCTATTGGACTCGCCGTTGGTCTTCTTCACAGCGCTCACGGCGCTGGCGTTTACTAGTTTTACAAACCAGCAGGAGCTTGGGCCTTCTCATGCCTTCCGTGGACCCTGGTGGTTCTGGTTGGCAGCAACGGGTCTATCCCTGGGCGCCACATTGAGCGTTAAATGGGTCGGGCTTTTCACAGTCGCGTGGGTCGGTTCTCTCACTGTCCTGCAGCTGTGGGTGCTTTGGGGCGACGCCCAGAACGTCACACCGGTATGTCTTCGTTATTGATTAGAGCTTCCTCACTCTACGTCAAAGCTAATTGTTCCAGCGCTTATGGTTCAAACACTTCTTTGCCCGGGTTTTCTGTCTCATCATCATTCCCCTTGGCTTTTACTGTGGAATGTTCGCAATTCATTTTCTATGCTTGGTCAACCCGGGAGACGGAGATGGATTCATGTCCTCGGAATTCCAGGCCACATTAAACTCCAAGGGAATGCAAGATGTTCCTGCAGACGTTGTTTTCGGTTCGCGTGTGAGCATTCGTCACCTGAACACCCAGGGTGGCTACCTTCACTCCCATGCCCATATGTATCCCACAGGAAGCAAACAGCAGCAGATCACTCTCTATCCTCACAAAGACGAGAACAATGTCTTCATCCTTGAGAACCAGACCCAGCCCCTTGGTCCCTTTGGACAAGTGGAGGGCCCTTACGCTTGGGACAATATTACTACCGAGTACATCCAGGATGGTGCGGTGGTAAGACTCTACCATGCGATAACACATAGGAGACTTCACTCGCACGACGAGCGACCTCCTGTGACAGACGTCGACTGGCAATTTGAAGTGTCTGCGTATGGGTATGAGGGGTTCCCAGGAGACGCAAACGATCTCTTCCGTGTTGAGATTGTCAAGTCGAAGTCCGACGGCGAGGAAGCGAAGAAAAGGTTAAGAACCATCGAATCTAAATTTCGGCTTGTCCATGTCATGACTGGCTGCGTTCTATTCTCTCACAAGGTGAAACTTCCTGAGTGGGGTTTCGATCAGCAGGAAGTGACTTGCGCCAGAGGAGGCACCCTGCCGAACAGTCTTTGGTACATCGAGTCAAACCACCATCCGATGTTACCTGAAGATGCAGAAAAGGTCAATTACCGAAACCCTGGGTTCTTTGGGAAGTTCTGGGAGCTCCAGAAAGTCATGTGGACTACAAATGCTGGGCTGACCGAGTCTCATGCCTGGGATTCTCGTCCACCATCGTGGCCAACATTGCTCAGGGGCATCAATTTCTGGGGTCGTGATCACCGTCAGATTTATCTCCTCGGCAACCCCTTCATCTGGTGGTCGTCGACTGCCGCCATTGTCATCTATATTGTCTTTAAGGGCATCGCCGTTATCCGTTGGCAACGCAGTTGTGGTGATTATCGCAACGTCAACTTCAAGCGATTTGATTATGAAGTCGGTACGAGCGTGCTTGGCTGGGCTTTCCACTACTTCCCCTTTTATCTCATGGCTCGGCAGCTCTTTCTACATCATTACTTCCCGGCCCTCTACTTCGCCCTCATGGCGCTGTGCCAGGAGTTCGATTTTATCGCCAATCGCTTCAAGGCCTTCGGTCTGTCAGCGAGGCCTATTATTGGCAAAGGATTGGTCGCAGTCTTTCTGGCTCTCAGCATCTTCACCTTCACTCTTTACTCCCCATTAGTCTATGGCAATCCTTGGACGCAAGATGCTTGCAAGAAGGTCAAACTCTTTAGCACTTGGGATTTTGATTGCAACACATTTTACACTGACGTAAGTGTTCCAGAATGGCAGCCTCCGCGACGAGGATACTAGATGAATGAACGCCCGACGGCTGACGACAGCACATTAGCTTGGTCAATATGTTACTCAGTTTGTCAATGCGAACCCAATTGCATCCTCAACGCCCTCCGCACAGGTAACCCCAGTTCCAGGATTGCCTGTCCAAGATTTACCCGTTCAGGAACCGCCGGTGGCACCGCCCCAGCAGCATCAGCAGGAGGTTCACAAGGAGGCTCAGGAGGCAAGCGTGACTTCCCAGGCCCAACAGCCTCGCGGAACAATGGCGCGAGTGGAGTACCGTGATCAGCATGGCAATGTTCTTGATGAGGCGCTCGTCGCATCTCTTGCCAAGGAAGGCAAGGTTTCTTTTGAAACCCGGCACGAAACTCGGACTCTCCTTGAACATGCCCATGAAGTAGAGATGATAGACGGTAAAGTTGCACCGCCACACCCAGATGTGGAGGGGCAAAATCCTGAGACTGTCAAGAACCAGGAACAGCAGGCTGCAGGAGACAGCCCAGCTTCGGCTGCTGTGGGTGAGAGCTCAGTCGAGGAACCAAGTTCCCCTGAGCCAAAGCCGGCTAGCGAAGCAAATGAGGCAACTCAGAATTAAAGCAATGAAATGTCATATATGGAGTGTAATTAGTGGCTTTGGGGTGGTTGCTGGTCCTGTTTCTGAACATTCGAGGCTTGGCAAAGTCGATTTCAATATCTCTTCTGTTGAACAATATTCTTCTTGACCGAATGAAATGTGCGATTATACGTGATTTCCACAAATTCTTCATGCGAACCATACCCACTGGAGGATAATACCTGACAGTTCTGCAAGAAAATAGCATGAAAAAGAACAATTGATCCACGTATTGACTTCCATCAAAACATACTATGCACACAAAGCTCTGGCATGAATCTGCAACCCAACCTCTAGTCCTCACTGTCGCTTTTAGTGTACAGCAATCAACATCGGGACACTTCCGACGTTCGTCTCTAGCTTTCGATCCTCCACCGTATGCCCATCTAGTAGTCCCACTCCTCCTTACCGTACTTGTTGAAGCGCTCGTGAAGGTCCTGACGAAAAGAAGCGGGTTGTCAGCAATCTATTCACATGTACTACCTGACATAAGGTCCGCCAACACGATAATAGGCGAGGGGTCATTACCACGGGCAGAGTGACATTGGGGACAATGACGGTGTTCAGAGCGCTGGGGGCGTTTCTGAGGGGCTGGCTCTTGTCACCGTGAGGGTGGTACTGGTACTTGTAGATCTTGCCGTCGTCATCGCGCTCCCAAGGCATGGCACTCTCGCCGATACGAACGTTGCTCTCAGAGGTGACCGAGGTGGGCTTTCTGCCGAAGTACCTGTTGACAAAAAATTGGTAAGCGGCGTCCGCATCAATCCAGCGTGCAATTGGCGACAATCGGGTTCTGCAGTCGCTTTTTTTGTGTCGAATGGGGGCGATAGGGAGGAGGATTATTCACCATCCAGCAATCAGGAAAGCTCCGGACATAACACCGAGCAGAACCTACAACATCCTTTAGCGAGGAGTCCAATCAGTCGAGCGGAGCTCGGTAAGAGATCCATACGTAGAGCTCGGGGTCGCGCTTGGGGGCCTTGTCGAGGGTGGCCTCCTCCAGCTTGGAGCTGTAGTTTCGGCGCGGGGCAGCCCGGAAAAGAGACTGACGGGCGAAAGCCCGGCGGGAGGCCATGGCAGCAATTGAAGACATGGTGAAAATTTGTAGATTTGAAGACTGGTTGTCTGCGAAGACTGCAATCGGGGGGTTCTCTGACAGAAAGTGGGAAGATCGAAAGTGTCAAACGATGATGTTGCCGGCGCATCATCAGGTGACATCCCGTTGACCCATCCGCTCCCGACGCTTAGTCATGCATATTAACGTAATCGGTAAGCGAGTCGGCCATGTAAGCGAGTCGGCCACCCGGTCAAGGCATATCCTAGAATTCTGATTTACATACAAAAAAGGAAGTTATTCCACGTTAATCTAACCATTAAAACGCGCTGAATTCAGGCAGCTACTCGATTAGGACATCTTGTACGTATATGTCCTAAAACACCACACATACTGCACCGAGGTGGTGCCCGACGGCGTGGTTGATCATCTCCAGGCCCTGTATCACCAGCTGCTTCCTCTAAGGCCTGAACATGGTTGAATGCCTCAAGTGCTTCCTGGATTGTGAAGCCATTCAAACCATTCATTTGGTGTTGGTTACGCTTCTGCTTATTCTTTCGTCTCTCAATGGCCTGGTGAAGTTGAAGGTTTTCATGTTCAAGAAGAATAGCACAGTTCAAGGCTATCTCTGCACCTTTACAGATGTAAGATATTGCTGTCTGTATTGGTGAGGTAGGAGGGTTTGTTTGAAGTAATTGAGAGATCACCGACTCATGCTTTTTGAATTGATTCAAATTTATCGGTGTTTTGGTAATCGTAGATGTAGTGCCTTGACTGCTGGGACGGCTGTCTTCCTTGTAAAAGATGAGGCTATCCAGAACCTGGTTAGGATTAAAAGGGACTAATCCTGAGGCTCTAAAAGCACTCTGTATATTCATCTTCTTGAAGGCTTGGGCGTGGGCTTCTGGGTAGACGTCAAGAAAGTCAACCTTATCAATATGGTGATATCCTGTTCGTACAAGCCGTTCAATGAGGTTACTGTAAGCTCGTTTCAATGGTGAGAAACAGGCCACATCCAAAGGTTGACAGAGATGTGAGGAATTTGCAGGCATGCAAATAGGAATAATATCATTTTGACGACATATATCATCAAATTGAGGTGTTAAATGAGAGTCATGCCCATCAAGAACTAAGAGGCTATATTGGCCAGTTCTTCGGTCCTTAATATAAGGAATAAAGTGTTCTTTGAGCCAGTGTTCACCAATTTCTCGTGTTGTCCATCCATTTGATGATATAGCAATTCTCCATGAAGCTGGAGTATTACCTTCATACCAGGCCTGAATATGAGTCTTTGCTTTCAACACTAAGTATGCTGGTAATGCCCATCCGGAGGCGTTGATACACTCAATTGAAGTTATCCATTCTCGATTTCCCGGTTGTATAAGAAAGGGCCTTCCTTCACAGGATGATCGTGTGATTACCTTCGCGGTAGCCACCAGGCCCATAGCAAAGCCGGTTTCATCAAAATTGTAGATATCTTCATTGGCGATACCATAAGTTGATATAGCGGCTTGCACGCGTTTGAACCAGGCTTGAAGAACTTCAGGATCCTCGCATTTCGCCCGTTTATAATTGATTTGACGACTAAACCGACTTTTCAAGGAATCATGGCGGGAAATGAAGTTATATACCCATTTCTCTCCCACTGAGGAAGTTGTATCTTGACCACGTTGTTGGATCAATATTGTAGCCATTTCACGGACCTGGAAGTGCCTTGGCGGTGCACCACGTTGATCTAATGAGAGAATCCATTTAATAAGTGATTCTTCCTCTATAGGAGTCAACTTATGGGAATTGGCGCGGGTTTCCTTGCGAAATTTGATTCCATTCAAACGATCTTGAAGTGTTGACCGGGGAACTTCAAAGACACGAGCAGCTTCACGAACTGATTTGATTTGGCCATTCTGAATAGCCTTAACTGCTAAGGAGATCCTCCCCTCTCGTTCCACCAAGGATTTTGATGATTTGGGCATTTTTCGTGGTGATATGGATGGCTGAATAGCCTTGGTTTCAAAGGGGTGGTGATTCTTGATGGGGGTGGCCGACTCGCTTACGTGGCCGACTCGCTTACCGAATACGTTATTGGGCTGGGACTCGCCGCCTGCAAAGGCAAAATGTCATCGTTCAATGAGTCGCCGAGCGCGCAAGGGTGCCAACGCCTCGTCAATGCGAAAAAGGGTTCCAGGGTGCTTGCTAACTCACTCGCCTTTGGACTGGTTTTTCTTCCAGCCGTGATGTGACGAAGATCTGTCTTCTTCCTCTTACATCCGCTCATCAGCTTCGCAACTATACTCAAGGTTTGTGAGGACCACCATCTCCGATAGGGGGCGATGACATATGCTCTGTTCTGCTCCCAGGGGCTTGCAGTATTGAGATTCACAAGCACACATGAAACTAACTACACCGCTATATTATAGGTTGCTCACATTCCTTTACGATCCATTATTCCTGTTGCGAAAGATAACACAGAAATAACTCCCTGTCGCTCCTTATCCACGTCTAAACTCCGATTAGCGTCCTCTGATATATTTTTTGCGACTGGGCTGCTATAGACTCAGCAGTCCCCGAGTATCTTTTCGCTTCCTTCAATACAAACTACACCATGATCAATCGGCATTTCTACTAAGTAGAGATTCTTATCAACTCGTGGACAATCATGTCGTCTGCGCCGGAGACGAGCGATGCGGTTCATGAATCGACCGCACAACCTGTCCTCGGTATTCCACGCCCTCCTTCCGTCGGGGGCATCTCCTCTCGAATGACAGACGTGGCATCAGAAGATGGCGAACGATCCCAAGCAAATACTGGGATTTCATCACGTCCGCCTCAGTCGCAGAGATCGCTTTCTAGACGAGGCCCCCCACCCGCGAGAAGTTCAATCACCGCACACAGCCAGATGACAAATAGACCAGGCAGCTCTGCCAGCAGATTGAGTCGCAGTCACATTCCTTCGCTCACTGCGCAGGGCTTTTTTCGACCTATGTCTTCTCAGAGGCTCCAAGCGCATCGAGGTCGGCCCGTCACTAAAGAAACGGCAACGCCATCCGAGGATTGGAATGACCAAATCGACCAAAATAGGCGAAGCATGATCTCGAATAGCACTTTCCCCCAGAGTTCTGCTCCACAGGAAGAAGCTCCTCCATCGCGAGGTACCGAGTTTACGGATCCCATAATTCCAGATCGAAACACATCGAACGCCAGTCCCATCGGAAATACGACGTCAAGAAGCGTGGGCGAGAGTGCAAAACTTTTGCACGATCGGGACAGAGTGTATAAAATTACGCCGCAACACCTCAATTTGGGAGCGAATCATAGCATCGAAAATAGCGATCTTCCCCAACGATCCCCTCTCTCGTTTCTGTCTCTACAAAACAGAAATCCTGCACCAGAACCCCGCGATAGTCGTGCTCATGAGCGACTGTCATCTGCAGACTCATCTCCTGGATCCATCCAGAAGCAACATCACACAACACCTAGTGCTAACTTGGGCAAGAATTATGAGTACTTCACCGGTAACACCCTGTTCTTTGGTGGCGGTCGGTTCCAGAATTCTAGAGACAAGCCCATCAACATTGCAACTGGCATCTTTGTGGTTCTGCCTTCCGCTTTGTTCTTTGCATATTCGGCTCCTTGGCTCTGGCATCATATCTCACCTGCGGTCCCGATATTGTTTGCCTATCTTTTTTACTTATGCTTTTCTTCATTCATACACGCCTCGGTCGTCGATCCTGGGATCATTCCTCGAAACCTTCATCCAATGCCACCGCCGGAACCCTCAGGCGACCCATTGATGATCGGACCGCCTACCAATGACTGGGTGATGGTGAAGCTAGCAACATCTGATGTCGCGGCAATGGACGTTCCTGTGAAGTACTGCAAGACTTGCAACATCTGGCGCCCACCGCGCTGCTACCATTGCCGCGTATGTGACAATTGCGTTGAAACTCTAGATCATCACTGCGTTTGGCTGAACAATTGCGTTGGTCGCCGTAACTATCGGTACTTCTTTGCTTTCGTCAGTTCTGCGACCCTCCTTGCGCTATTCTTGCTTGGAGCCAGCCTTGCACATGTTCTGGTGTATCGTGCTCGCGAAGGCGTTTCTTTCGGCTCCGCAATTGACAAGTGGAGAGTCCCCTGGGCCATGGTTATATATGGAGCACTAGCAGCGCCTTACCCGGCCTCATTATGGGCATATCACCTCTTTTTGGTAGGGCGAGGCGAGACGACAAGGGAATACCTGAACTCGCACAAGTTCGCCAAAGCAGACCGCCATCGTCCCTTCACTCAGGGGAACATATTCCGAAACTGGATATCTGTGCTAGCGCGGCCCCGCCCTCCGACCTATTTGCAGTTCAAAAGGCCTTATCAAGAGGGTGACCAGCGCTTGAGCGCTCTGAAACGGAAAGACCGGCCTCGAGATGTTGAAGCTCAAGCGGATATTGAGATGCAGCATGTTCCTCCGACTCCACGGCAGGGTTAACACGGCTGTGGTGTTGAGTGAGTTTATCCTCACGTCACTATCTATTCGATCTTTCTCTGAAGCTAATCGCATCTCTGTGATTGCATTCTTTACACATTTTCTTTTTCTATATTTCTATATCTTCTTATTCAAAGCCACTGATGCTGCTTTGATGGACTTGACCTCTGTTGTCCTGACTGTTAAACATCAACACTTCACGATCTTGATATCTTTGCGCATTCCCTTCTGATTTCCAAGATTCCCCATCCAAAATAAGACCTTGCAATTGAGCGATCTTGATTCGTTTGCTCTTCATGACTGTCATTTCTTTTTTCATTTCAATCCACAATTTCCCTCTGATTGGGGGCCCTCTTGTCTTGGTTCAATTTGCTGGGTTGGGTTTATATCACGCGACATCAAGGATATATGTATGATAATCGGTTCTGACCTTACAGATAGACAATGAATAATTCATTCAAGAGAGGAGAGCAAAGAGAAGAGCTCAGTCTGTATCCCTCCACTGTCAAATGTAGCTTGTAGGCGCCTGCAGAGGCTGTTATCAAATGCAGAAGGGGCCGCATGTTGGAACTCCAGATGCTTGAGAGTTCGTCCAAGCTCAATTTGCCCAAAATCAGATGGTAGAACTGAGCGCAGAAGGTCGTGCCCAGAAGACTTAGTGTTGTCCGTAGTCTCGCTACTGTTTCCCTCTGCATTCCGCGGCCGTGCCTCCCCTCCGGCCGTCCCAAACTGGCTGATGACAGGAACTGGACCCCCTCCGCACCTTCAACTTTCTCCTTCCCTTCCAATGCCTTGCCGTCCACCTTGCTGAAACCATCCTCTCACTCATTTGTACTTCGTACCCTTTCAGCATGTTTGTCAGAGTCTTGTTGTGACCTGGTTTTTGAGCTGTTGAGCGTTGTGCAGATACGGCTGATAACAGGAGCACCTATTGTAGCCCTTGTCCGTCGTGATCGCATTCAACTGCAGGCAAACAACAAAACCTTCCGCAAGCCCCGGACTGGATCAGACAAAAGGTGGTTTTATTCTAGCCCTCTTCTGCACTCTCAACTGTTCCAGCAGCAGAATCACGTACACATCGTTCTCAAGGAAATCGAGATGGGAAAGCGAACTAGATCCTCCGTCGCGTCACCCGCGACACCCGCGACCCTCTCGGACCTCCAGAAGCACGCTCACGAGCACGTCGACGAGACAATAGGTCTAGAGGTGCCAGAACAACTTCTTACGCCTGAGAACAGCCGCTCCGAAACCTCCAGCAACAGCGAGAACGCGTGCCCTGAAGAAAAGCCTACGCTGCGACGGGCATCTACACGTGTCACACGCTCTTCTCTACGAGCTTCGGGTACATTTGAGTCCAAACCTGAGCAGGAAGATGCAATCATCACGTCCTCGTCTGGTGAAATGGACCCTACGAATTCTAGTGGGAACCTAGCCCACGATGTCACGAAACTCAAGCGGTCCCAGTCCTCCCACCTCCGGCACAGCATAGCGGTCATGGAAACCGCCGTTTGGAGCGAGTCAACGCTTACACGACATATCATGGAGGTTGAGGACCACCTAATAACTCCAGATACGCCTGTCTCCAACTCGTCCCAAGAGCCACAGCTAGATGATCTTAGCTCATCACTACCGCAGCGATCACTGAGGAAGCGCGTGGAACGGGCATTGACCAAGGAGGATAGTTCCAACCGGAAGAAGGATGAATCGGCGGCCCGCGTTGATGATCCCAAACCAAGGCGCTCAACTCGTCTGAGTTTATTGGAAAAGGCATCGGATTTTGTCGAGAAGGCGGGTAGCGTCCTGGGCAAAAGGTCAAAGGATATGATGGAGAAAGGGCAAAATCTTGACCGCAGAGCCAGTCTGCGACCTCGTAACGTCGTTGCGCCCAAGGAAGAACCCGCCTCTCTCGCGTCAAGCGAGCCTTCGGCTGCGAAGAAACGACGTGTTTCTGAAAGTGACCTGCCGTCCAAGATCAAGGCCATTGACCAGTCCACTGCGCAAAGCGACACTGCCGCCAAAGAGCCCAGGTTCAAGCCGAAGCGCTGGCTGTCTCATGGACTGTACACTGGGCAAGAGTATACGACCGCCCGGCCCAGCCAAAACAGAAATAAGAACGCGAAGAGGCGATCTCAAGGCGTCCCTTCGCAGCGAAGATTGCTGCCAATGCCAATGTTCGCAGGCGACCGACTGCTACAGTTGGGGAGGGATTTCCAGCTGCCGTTCGATATTTACTCGCCTCTTCCGCCTGGTCAACCCAAACCTGACGAATGGAGGAAAACCAACAAAAGTTCGTTGACTATTGAATGCGCACTTGTTGAAAGAAAGAGCCGTACTAATTATTCAATCTAGATGTTTTTGTTGGAGAGGCGGGTAGTATATGGAGAGCCAACAAGCACATGGAACTGTCCAAATGCATGTGCACAGAAGAGACAGGATGCGACGAGAACTGTCAAAATCGGTACATGTTCTACGAATGTGACGATGGGAACTGTGGACTGGGTCCTGACTGTGGCAACCGAAGCTTTGATGAGCTTAAGCAAAGGACAAAGGCCGGGGGAAAATACAACATTGGCGTGGAAGTCATCAAGACAGCCGACCGCGGATACGGCGTCCGCAGCAATCGCACATTCGAGCCCAACCAGATTATCGTTGAATATACTGGTGAAATCATTACTCAAGCCGAGTGCGAGAAGAGGATGAGGACGATATACAAGAACAATGAGGTATGTCCCTTGATTAATGTCGTCACCTGAACGGAGGATTGATCTGAAGCGCTAGTGCTATTATCTCATGTACTTTGATCAAAACATGATAATCGACGCTACTCGAGGCTCAATCGCTCGCTTCGTGAACCATTCCTGCGAACCGAACTGCCGAATGGAAAAGTGGACTGTTGCAGGCAAGCCACGCATGGCTCTGTTCGCGGGTGACCACGGTATTATGACTGGTGAAGAATTAACTTATGACTACAATTTTGAGTGAGACTCTCCACTACCCGCGATGTCACTTGGATTCTTTCTGACCGTTACGCAGCCCCTATTCTCAGAAGAATGTCCAGCAATGCCGATGCGGTGCTTCCAACTGCCGTGGAATATTGGGACCGCGACCCAGAGAAAAGGATCAGCGGTCCAAAGAGTCGAAGATTATTAGCCAGAAGAAGACGACTACCACTAAAAAGGTCATTGGTACCAAACGCAAAAGCGGGACAGTGCTTGACAATTCTTCATCGCGGCTTAACAAAAAGCGAAAAGTTCTGGCTCCGAAATCCATCGCGAAACAGGTCAAAAAGGCAGTGTCGAGAGCGCCTGCGACGATGTCCAAGTCAGCGAATTGGGGAAAGAAGAGAACAGTGAAAGTGCAGACCAAGGTCTCCAAGACGACGGTCAAGAAGCCCGAGAGCTCAAGATCCAAAAGTCAGGCGAAGGATAAGGAGACCAAGCCCAAAAGTAGCGTCAGACTTCCCAGGGTCAAAACCGCCAAAACGAAAGTGAAGGCGGCAATTCTTCCCAAGAAGAAGTCACCTAAAATAACGGGGAAGTCGCCATCGAAGCTGAAGGTTTCTCCTGCGTCTTCCTCGACGTTGAGTCGTCCATCTGCGAAAGCAAAGGAGAAGATACTCAAGGTAGCCAAAGGTGCGAATGCTCGGAAACAGACGACGAAGGGGAAGACAGCTGGTACGAAATCGCCTTGCAAGAACCCCACAAGCAACAGCATCAAAAAGCGCCCTAGGGCTATGGCATCGACTAAACGGACAAAGGGCGCAAGCACGGTGATGGTCCATTCCACTTAAATAATAAAGAACAGACAAAGCAATCTGGCGCTAGCAGTCAGACATTGCAACAGTATTTCAGTTCGGCTGTTTATTCAATCATGGTTGTCCATTAGCTTCTCCTGAAGCGGTCGTGCTTTCGCTTCCTCGCCTTTATTTCTTGAATCGGCTTACGCTGCAGGCAAAATTCTCTTCAGCCCGTGGATCGGTCGTGATTTTGGTATTTCCTTGGTTGTCACATGGATGTTTCTCTGGTTTTTTCTCTGCGCTGACTGTTATTCCCCTGTTCCACTGGTTTGATCTAAATGATGGGCGTCAGGTGTAACCCATATTGTCTCGACTGGTTGTTCTTGCTCGGGTGCAGTCTTGGTGTTTGGATGCAAAGGGTTTCAAGGAATGAAGAATACTTAAGTTCTGGTTTCTATAGCTAATATATTGATATAAACTGAAGACTGCATGGGGCTGTGCATATAGCACCTACAATAGATGCGACTCAATCTCATCCATAGAGTCGGAGTATGCTGCCGCTGTCCGCCTTAGATATGCGACTTGTGCTTTATCTCAAAGACTTCTGAAATTCATCTTTTGTCGCAATTTGCACTACATATGTCTCGAAAAGCTTAGGGAGAATATTGTGGGAAGAGAAAGAGGTATAGAAGTAGCTAGGTGGCGATCAACACCAAGGTTACATATAACGACGCGTGAATGCCATGAAAACACAGTAATCGTCCCTAATGTATAGCGTTACACAGAGAAACCCGGCAGATGTATATTCCGTACAGACCAAACTGTCCCCAACATGGGCTATTTTACTACCGAAGATGAAATCATTTAAAAAGCTTTGTAGAGAACCGAGAGCGCAACGCCTTACACCTAATCCACACCTCAGATACACCCATGCAGAGATTGAAAAAGTCTGACCGCCGTCCTTACCAGAAATTCTATGCTGCGCTAACGTCAGAGGCGGACGGTGCAGGTGCCTCCTCTCCGCCCTCCTTGCTTTCAGGTTCTACCTTTGCCTGCTCGGCGATAGGCTGGGGAGCAGCATCGTTGTCGGACGGAGCAGCGTCGCTCGGTTGCGTCGATGGCTCGGTAACTTCAGGTGCACTTGGTGCAGGAGCTGAAGAAGGAACCTCGGGGGTTTGAGGTTCACCGGGCGGAGCGGGTTGTGGTTCTTGAACGTCCGTTACGGGTGCCTGATTCTGGGGTTGCTCTTGAGAGGATTCCTCGATTTGTTCAAATTCTGGACTTGGAGGGGTGAGAGGCTCTGTTGGTGGTGCCATGTGTTCCGGCGAGGGATGTGTGGGTTGCGGAGGTGTCTGCTCTGTGGTTGAAGGGGGAAGCGGCTCAGTTGGTTGAGTCGATTGCTCCGGCGAAGCTTGCGCCGGTTTTTCTGCATGCGGCTCAGGGGTTGGAACGGGGGATTGTTGGTCTGTAGGCGGCGCAGCTGATTCATCTGAAGGGGCTTCAGCAGAAGGTTCTGTAGAAGGCACCATGCTAGAATCCGTTGCAGGCTCGATCACCTGTGGTGTGACGGATTCGGTAGCCTCGTTCTCTGCGGGTTGAGCAACAGGCTCTGCATCTACAGCTGATGGTGCTTCGGGAACTTCTTCGCGAGGCTGAGCCGCAGGTGCTTCTTGTTTAAGCTCTTCTATAGCATCATTCGCCGCAGTTTCCGCGGTAGGCTCTGTCATCTCCTGCTCAGGCTGCTCTGGAATAGATATCGTGCTGGGTTCTAGGGAAGGTTCACTGGGCTGTTCGATGGCCTTTTGCTCTGCATCAACAGGAGCAGATTCGACAATCTGCTCTGGGATCTCTTTTGCAGGTTGCTCTTCAACGTTCTCTGAAGGCTGTTGTTGAGGCTCATCTGTGACAGTTTCTCCAACTTCCCCTGCGGCATTTGTCGCGGTGCTCTCAGCAGCCATAACTCCCGCTTGTGGATCAGTTTGCAATGAGGCTGATCCGTCAGTCTGTGCATCGCGAACCGCGCCACCCAGACTAGCTTCCAAGCTACCAAGAAGATCAACCTCGTTGCTGCGTGTCTCAGTATCGGCCGGTTGAGATTCAACTGCAGAACTGGGAGCTTGTTCAGCCACAGTTTCTTTCAGCGGGATCGGCTCAGTCGCAGGAGCTGATGCAACGGCTTCAGAGTCCTCCATTACTACATCACCCGCCTCGGCTACCTCCTGGGTCATTGCTTCATTTGGAGTAGCCTGACTTGGCTCCACCGACTTCTCTGTGATCTCTGTCTGAACTTCTGTCCGATGCGCGCCCTCGACAGGTGGAGACGGGCCCGGCCCTGAAGTTTGAGACACTTCCTGAAGCGGTTGGGAAACAGGACTTTTGTGAGCGGGCTCAGTCATCTCCTGAGCATCTGAAGACAGACGTTCTGGATGTTGCTGAGGTACAGTTGCCAGACTATCATCTTGAAGAGAGACTGGAGGTTGCGCATCGGACATAACAACATCTTCGGTAACGACTGCCTGTGTCGGCTCTTCGGACACAGCTGTAGCTTCAGGTTGAATCGAAGGGGCAGGAGCAGACACCTCAGCGGACGGTGACGCTTGGGCTTGAGGACTAGGGGGTTTGGCGGAGGGCGCCGATGGCTGCGCATTCGTATGGGTAGAGGGTTCCTTGGCCAAGCTCGATAGGCCCTCTGGAGCAACTGTTTGAGACTCATCATTTTCCTCCTTGATAGCTCTTGAAGATTCCTGAGCAGCTTCAGCGTCAGATATAGACGGCGCATCACCCGCTGGTACAGACTCAGGCTGTGCGAGTGGGGTTTCTGGTGTCTTCGCGTCCAACATCGACTCGTCACCCTCATCACTCTCTTCGCCCTCGTCACCCTCCTCCTCTTCATCATCCTGGCCGCTTTGATCTACAGACAAGCGGGACGCGTCCGGATCCGGTTTAGCAAACCCGGAATCTGTGGCGCCATCTGCCGTACTGGCGCCAGAACCATGGACAAGCGCAGCATCAGCCCCATCTCCTGGCGCGAACATGACCTTCTTCCTGCGTCCCTTCCCGAAACCCTTGGCCTTGCGCTTGGGAGGAGGTGGGCGTCTTTTCGGGGGCGTCATGACAGAGACGGAGCCTGCTTCTGCAACAACCACACCCTCAGCGTTGACCACACCAACGCCTTCGACAACCGTCCCAGGTGCAGGGGCCTCCGGAATAACAGCGACCTCCTTGTTTTCGGCTCTCACTTGAGCTTCATCGGTGATTTCGCCTTCAATCTTGTGTCCCTCTGGCACCCACGCCTCGTAGATGGAAATGTTACCAGTAACCGGGTCGACCTTCTTGAAACGAGTTCTCCTCATCGGAACATTGTTCGCCGCACCGTCCACACCCGTAGTTGAAGCGCCGTAGAGTGATGGTAAGCCCGGTCGTCTCTTGGCCAGAAATTCCACCTCTGGTGGCTCCAGGTGTCTAGGCAGCGCTGCCCACTTGCGCGCAGTAAAGCTCCGGTCCGTGCTTTGTATCATCGGTTGTTCCTCGACGTCAGTAGCTTCTTTCTCTTCATCCTCTGGCTCCTTTTGCGCTTTGCGGATGTAGATACAACCGGCTCGAGCGGCGCGAAGAAGCGCTCTGCTCATAGGTGTGAGCAGATGACTGTCCCTAGGCATGGGGTGCTCGGGGAGGGCCTGTTTGCCTCCGGGGCCTTGAATGAGCGACTCCGATATTTCGGTCTTGGGAACTTGGGAGATTGTTTGGCGCTGGCGCGTCCATCTCCGCACCGGGAGTCCTTCGAAAACATCGTGATCTATTTGGCCGGTTCGGGTTCGATTAGCGTTCTCGCCGAATTGACGACCGGAGCGCGAAGATCTGAACTGATGTTTGTCAGCATGCAGATGAAATATACAATTATCGCCAGTGCCTGGGAGCGAGATTTCTCCTTGCGGGCAACGTTGCGCTAGGAGACACCTACAGTCGGTGGCATGGTGAGTGGCTGGCCGGCAGTCTTTCCTCCGCCACGTAGATGCTAAGGCGAGTGCTTGCAAATTCCGATACCTCTGACACTATCAACTGGAAAGCAAATGTAAAAAAATCGAACAATGGTGCCGTCTGCCGTCCAGCCAGACTGGGATGCGACTGGCAGTGTTTGGCGCGATGCGATGGCGCGGAAACGGGAGTTACTGAGCACAGAGTCACGTGATCTTATCAACCATTACAAGGACTATGGCAATAGAACCCGACAAGAAATGATACTTGGACTTCTCAAGTAATCGATTTTAGACAGTTAAGATAATGCAAGAGAAGCGTGTGTCTTTCTGATAGTTTTAAGTAACCGGTGCAGCATACGCGCAGTCAGATTCGGTTAAAAGTACAGTCCCCTCGGTTTATCCAATAACTTGACGGCTAGGTAGGCCAAACTGACTGTCGCGCTTAGTGTGTGTTCAGATTAAAGTCTGGCACTCAAGCATGTCCTTCTTCATAAGGTCTGATAAATCAATCCCACCTGCAATCACTGTCAGTTTGTGGCGAAGGAAGCATAATCAGGAAAGTGTCATACCCAGTATCCTTCTGGCGGACGATACCGCCCTCTTGTCCAGTCTGCTCGCCCTGCACAAATAGTTAGGCGAATCCTGAAACGAGCAAGGTGCATTCGAGTAAGTACTCACAGTCTTTTGTCCTTCCACTACTAGTTTGTCCAGCTGATAGAATTGACTAATCACAGTTTGTCGCTGGATTAGAAGTCAGTAACCTGTCCTTCCATCAAACGTACTATGTAGATGTCTTGGGCGGTGGAATAGCCTCATCCAGACACCGGTGTACAGAACTCAGGACTGACCTTCAACATGCGCAAATTTTGCAGACCGTCCTGAATCAACTCCTGTATCCTCCTTTCCTCGGTTTCATGCTGGTGCTCACGGAAGGCATCCGTCGTTCTCCGACGGGCATACTCACGAAAGTTGTAGTTCGAAAATTGGGAAGATTGACGGAGCAAAGACCGAAACTGTACCGTTGGAGTCACATCGTTAGTCTTCTGATTCACGTAGTTAGATCGCACGGCGAGGATGAAAGGCATACCAATGACCGGACCTGGAACGCAGTGTCCCGCTGCAAGTTCGCCACAGACATGATGGCAGAGTTTATAAGATGGGAGTGGAGATGTGAAGCAAGGTGCTTAGAATATACTGGCAAGCGACAAAAGTGAAGCGTCTCCGACAATAGTCACTAATCTGATGGTGCTGTATCCGAAGGAGGCCTGTGCCTTCTCTTCAACTTTGCGCCCCTCAATCCTTTCACTTAAGACAATAGATGAAGCGTTACAGCGATGACAATGACCCGACTGTCCTTTTCAGAGCGATCCTAGTCAGGAGATAGTATGCTTTTCACAGGATCACCAGCACAGTATCTTGCATCACAACTTCAACTGCAGGTGGCGGTTATGAGACCGGAGAGTCGGACAAGCTGGAGGGACGTCCGAGTTCGAATCACGGAATAGTAGATTGTCAAGATAGTATAGAAGATTCACAGTCTCTCCCGGATAGACAGAAGAAGGGAAGACGAAGGAGAAAGTATCCGACTATTCACCTTAATCGCGCAGGACGGGAAATTCTTTTGCTTTTCCCCGGGAGCGCGATGACGGAGTTATCGGGCTCGGCGGCCGAGCTCTCTGTGCTTCTCCAGATATTCCCCATCCGCCGACCTGCACTCTACCGGGCGTTGAGCAGCTGTTGCAATTGTCATATCTTCTGAGTCACAATCTCATCTAGCAGTATTCAACTAACTTTTCTACACTTCAATAACGTTGTGACTTGTCAATGGCCGAACTCCCAACTCCTCCAGCATCCCGCCAGAGCTCTGAATCACCAGAGCTTCAGCTCAAGCAGTCTCACGAGGCCGGGTCCTCTGCCAAAACCTTAGAATTGCTGGACCATTCTCTGGAAAGATATCTTCTACTCCTGGATCAGCACCAGAAACTGCAGGCAGATCTCGCCAAAAAATTATCTTCGGTATATTTCGCTACTTGTCGTGTGCAATCGTTTTCACCTGGGTAGAGAAGCTGACGATAAGAAAGGGATTCTTCTCCCTTGCGCATGCGAATTACACGTGTCCGCCCGGTCGACGATATGGCGCTGATTACTATGACGAGCGTATGAAGGCGATTAGGAAAATGTAAGCTGAAGACTGTCATTGGGAGCCATCTCGGGTTCGGAAACCCGCAAATCCATGATAACGAGGACTGACCGAGCGCTTCATAATCAGGGCAATACGATCTCCTCCATGCGCCGAAAAACAAAAGAATATGAACGGGGTTGAGGATGTCCCGCAGGGAGAGTGTCCACTGGACGAGTACAGGCAGATCTTCGCGATTGATGAGACCACGAACGACCAGCGAGTCGAGGAGCCAGAAACGAGCAAAGACAAGGAAGAGGCCGACACGGAAGTCGACAATACGCGACAAGTTAGCCCGAGTGCAACATCAGAATCCGACTCCTCAAAAGAGCGGCCTCGCTTTTCTGACCCTATCCATTGGTACGGTATCTTGGTTTCCCCTTCTCTTCGCAGCGCCCAAAGGACTTTCACGGAAGCTGTAGAGCAATATTTGCCCAAGCTGGCCAGTGTGGTTGTGGAGATGCAGACTGTGGAGAGAGAGGTCGAGCGACTGCGAAGTCAACTACGATGAGCTTACGCTACCGGAAAGTGAGTCCTGATACAAGGCATGTGTTCAACGTTGCGCTTCACCAGTCCCTGTCATTTGCGGCATGCCGTAGGGGGTACGCTTCATCGAACAAGGATATGTGGATTGTGGGCCATGACTCAGACTCGAGTGCCGCCGTTAGTTACTTTGGCACCGGTATGAAGAACGTTGGCTTTACAGCAGATAAGCCATGATGCTTCCCAGCTAAGAAAGGATGGCATATGGCCAAGTAGGCTGTTCTTTAACAGGAAGAGAGACGGTTATCTGAAACTGCTCAACAGGGTTGTGCATTAACACCATACGTCTAGTCCCGAAATTCTCTGCCATCTGGGCCCTCATGCATGTGCATTAGTGTATATGTGCCAGACTTGCACAAGAATGGGCTTTTTTATAGACCTTCCAACAGAATCAGCAGAGTTTCAGGTCACATCCTCATAGCTTACAGAAACCAGAATAAGCTGCAACTTCGGGTCTTTTATAACCTGATAGTACTATTGTGGGATATGAATCAAATGGACTTGATAGCTAGAATGCAGATATCAAAGACCCCAGACAGTAGAGGACCATATGCAGCAGCTGTTGGTACAGTATGGCATCACATGACGCAGTTCGAGCTGTTTGTTTCTCATCGACCTGCAGCTGCCATCAAATTTTGGTGTTTTGCCTGACTTTCCTGCTCTTCGTGTCTGTCCGGAGTATCCTTTTCGTGACTTTGTCTATAATTATCACTTCGGTTGATTAATATCCTACTATTAGTATCTTAGCTCGTCAATAACGGTCGATTTATCCGCATGTTAGTTGGTAACCGTTGGCGTTACTCTCGGGCTTGTGTCCCCGAAATAGCCCAGTGCAAGCAATAGTCTTGAACAGTTAATGGGTTCAGTACCAGGGGTAACATCCTTTCATTTCTTCGAGCCATATTTGACACCAGCAGATCTTTTGATCAACAATGATGCACAATTGAATACCACGTACGGATACCACGGAGCTTATCTCAAGGACATAACTGACGATGAGCTGCATAGCCGATGGATGATCCCTAACAGTCGTCACGCAAAATTTCAGGTTCCCATCTGACAAAGTTGGAGCTGACTAGTTAAGTCACACACGGGAAGCACGGTTTCATGTTGAAAAGTGCCGCTCGCAAAGGTGTACCCCGATTGCTTAGGGTGAGACATAGCGTCGAATACACATCCACTAAGTGCCTCTTGGACACTCGGCCTCTCCACTGGGGCCAATGACCGTGGAGTCCCACGCCAAACTGATTCGTTCCGAGCTTAATATTGCCCGATCACAACATCAGAATCTCGAGGTTCTGGCCAATCTGGAGTCGTCGTCTATTATGTACCTCTGCTTTGTGTTTCAAGACGAGTCAACCCAGCACATTCCACGAAAACCGACAGGAGAATCAGTATCTAAACAACAATCCACTGCACCATTTGGGTCGGCGTTATAGCAGAGTCTCAATGCTCCTGTTCGCAATGGGGACAGCAAAAATCTCATAGTTGCTTCTTCAAGAGTGACCACTGAACACACAGGTGGTAGGAAGCTGGTCTCGATTTAATGGCACGACTCTCGTACCTGCTAGGGGACTGGGTACAGAAGCCGGCTCTGTACTGATATTGCACTAGTTACTATCAAAAACACTCCTAGTGTCAGCCTCCACCCTGCTCGTCTTTGGATCAACTCCGCTGCGCGAGGATTGGACCAGCCCCAACCGGTCCACGCCCCTTCCGCGTTTTTCGTCCTTTTGGAATATGAAATATGAATCATGCGGACGCCGGACGGAGATGATTCTTGATGAAGTCTAATGTATCAAAGTCTGGTTTTAGGCGAAGACCAATTTCGGGTCGCTGGAAGACCCTTCCTTGTTTACCCACCAGGGCACAGTAATCGAGTCTGGATGACTCCATCTATACTGAGAGTTCGAGTGGTCTTGTCCTCTTGAGTTACCCATTCATTCTCTTCTTCAGGGCTTGACGCTCTGTTTTTGTTCCTGTTGTTTGTTCCCATAATGTACCTGTAAGTCCGCGATATGGATTTTCCTTTGAGACGAATAAGTCACTAACAACGTATGATGTCTCAGTAGCTTGGATCAATGGACAGCCAGAGATTCTGCTGAGGTAGTCCGTTTGTGATACTGTGTAATTCTGCAATACCTCGCAGTCAATCTTCCTCCCTTTGAATTTCCTCATTGAACTCGGTATGCCTCCCTTGATGTGATGACATTCATGATGACACTATTCCGTGGCATATGCTCATTCCGACACCTTGTCCAGCAGAGGCATTGACTGCCCCTATAGCCTTCTTTCCCTCTTTACCTTTCAGCTCAAGCTTCTATTCCTCATATTCATCGACTGCAGCTCTTCCAACGGCTGCAGCTACTGAGTGTCGAATCACGTGGCTTGTATATATTCAGCTCACGGCTACTCTCCTTCATTACTCTTGATATCGTCCTCGGCATAAGACTCGAGCTGGTCATTCGTTCCTGGTGCGCGCTCTATTCACCGACTTGAAGGCGATCGATCTTTCTATACCACCGTTTTATGCTGTGTCATAGCCCCTATGCTGGCAATTGTAGGCTTGACATAGACCATTTACATTCATTACATTATTCGCAGAAAAACAGAAAAGGATTAACAACACAAGAAATGGAACCAACTCCGTTCCAGAGCTCGGACCATGGCTTCCAATCGACAGGCCCAAACGTCGACAGAAAAGGTTCCGTCAAACGGGCGAGACAGATGTTAGAGGCCGGCAGACGTCCGGATATCGCGATGGCGCCGTCGCAAAGTATTCATCCTGGTCCCACCCCAAAGGTCAAGGCAGATCAGTCCCATATGACCCAATGGCCTTTACCGACTGACGGTGGTCTGCAAACGAACGTGTCCGGTACTCAAGCAAGGCTGTTCATCCCAAAGGGGCTCCCTCCCGAGCGACCACCACGGCCTGATGCCCCGTCTCCGTCGGTTTATTCTGAAAGAAGCATGTCGGACATAGCACCCAGTCCCCTTCATCTGGCCCGGCCTATCCCATCGTTCTCGCACCCTTTGCCAAATCCACCACCTCCCCGTCCGCCCTTTAAGGGGCATCTTCCACCTTACGGGCCGGATCGTGCTGCAAATGCAGCCCCGCGAGTTCCTATGACAACTGATGACTCGTTTAGGCAGTCCACAGCTTCTTCTTTCATGTCTATTCCGTCTATTCCCGACTTTGCTCTTCCCGCCCAACCTGCACCTGCAGAAACAAACCCGGCCCTAAGGCAGCACCAGAGACGACTTGCCCCATCAAATGCTGCGAGATTCTCCACGAAGCGGAGGTCGTCGGTCTCTCCGATCCCAGAAGAACTCTCCGACAGCCCAACCATCTTGCAGGGGTCGTATGCATCCAGCCGAGTCATTCCGTCTAGCTGGGGCTCTGCACCGGCCGGGTCTGAAATTCTTGGAGCCTACCTAGACGTCGAGTCGGACGACGATCAGCATTCCCCGCCTAGCGTTCACGAGGGAGATTCGAACCTTGTCAGACAAGCCAGCCTCGGCAAAAGGGGCAAACCGTCGCTGCGAATGATCCAGAAGCCCAGCAGCCCATCCCCAGTATCAATGGTAGGAGAGCGTTCGGTCAGCGATGTCGTGCATGCCGGAACTGCTTCAGGGAAGATTGCAGCAGGGTCAAAGAACGAAAGACATTCCGTCTCTACAATCTCGACCGATTCGTCTGTACTCGATCCGGAGAAACCACCGATCGTTGTGGACATCAGCGGCCGACATCCTGCACTCCAGCACACGGATGATGATATGGGATCTCCGCAGAAGGAGTTGGGAATCCTGCCCAAGGCTGCACCAACCATGAGCGACAAGAGGCCGGGAGGCCGCAGACCACCTCGCCTGGATCTCGGGGCTGTCCGAGCAGCAGAAGCCCGAGGCAGTCTCACAAGCTTGCCTGACCTGATTCGACGGGCCACGAGGCTCGCTACAAATCTGGAGCACGGAAGGACGGCCAGTAGGAATGACCTGCTCAATGACGGGGGCAGTAGATTCGCGCAAGGTAAGTTACACATTCACTGGATGCATGAGACCGAAACTTTCGAACCAAATTGATTCCTCATCCAGGTCACAACGCTCGCCAATCAGGATCTATCAAGGACATCCTAGCATCTTTCCCGCCTCCAGCAGGAACGCCAGAAGTGCGCTCTTCCTGGCCGGATTTCTTCCGGAGGACTCCTATGCAGCATTTACGATCGCGGGAAACGTGCCCCGAAACTGACGAGGAGAAAGGCCAGCAGCGCTCGCGCCGTTGCTGTGGCATGCCGCCGTGGTTGTTCATACTCGTCTGCTTTCTGATCATCTCCGTAATTCTCGTCGCTGTTCTTGTGCCCGTCTTCCTGGTCGCAGTTCCCGACCACAAGTCCACCTCTATGTCACAATGCGAAAAGACTGCGCCCTGTGAAAATGGCGGTGTTAGCGTCTCGAGTGGGAGTATCTGCTCGTGCGTTTGCGCCAACGGCTATACAGGTTCTCGCTGCACTGTGGCCGGCGATGCGAGCTGTGTGACGACTGAGATCGTTCAGAACTCGACATCCAAGAATGCGACCATGGGCAGCGATCTCCCACGCTTATTCAAAGAGGCAAGCAGTAATTTCAGCATTCCGTTGGACTCGATGAGCATCATGGCGCTTTTCAGCCAAAACAATGTCTCCTGCACGACCGAGAATTCACTCGTCTCTTTCAAAAGCCTCTCCTCCACCTCCAACAAAGTCCGTCGCACTTCTCTGATCGAACCGGTCGCCGACTGGTTGGCATCCGAAGAACTTGCCCCCGCCGTCAAGGAATCAGCACCGAGTTCTACGACAAGGGATATTCCGACGCAGACCCTAGCTGCTCGCGGCTCGGTGGGCACCAAGAACGGTATCATCTTCGATGAATCGTACACCAGCACCGCAGCAGCAACCACGGCAACCCCATCCTCTGTTACATTCACTGAGCAGACCACCCAGGAAACGCCCCCGCCCGAACCCACGTCCACGCCGACCCCTCCCGCCATCCCGGGAAAGGTGCTCGACTTCTCGCGCATTGCTGTCCTGTACATATTCGAGAAAACAGCTGCGTTCACCGCGGCGATGCAATCCGAAGGCAATATCGAGACGTACCTGGCTCATTCGTACTCGACCTCGCAGACGGGCATCTTTGACGTCGACCTCTCGGCTTCCGGCATCAAGGGGAACTTTACGCTCAACTTTGACGAGTTTACTATTACTATGCCTAATGGGACTGTCGTTGGTGGTAATTGACATGATTCTGTTGATTTGACTTGACTGGGATACCTGTTCCGTTCTGTTCTACTGTCCGTGCTAATCGATCGGGAGAAAAGCAGCGTCATGTTTAGTGGATATAGGTGCTCTGCTCTTCACGCCGGTTCTTTCTTTCTTAGTGTACATAATGTTGGATACTCCCTTGCTTATTCTGTTCCTGGCCATGATTGGTTATCGGATCCTGTTGTTCATAGCTAAGATATTGCGGTTGAGATTCTCAGCTTCAGCTTATCGTACTCTTTTCTGTGCAGTCTGACATTACAATATAGTCAAGACTAACATCCAAATATGATTCAAGATCTCAATCAAGTAGTGTACAGAGAACGGTATACACGCAACGCAACCTTTTGATGCAAATGATACTCCGGCCTAACTCCATGTGAATCAAAACCTCCCGAACAGCAGTCAAACAAACAGAGAACTATTGGGCGCGATACCCTCCAAACCCGCCTCCCCGTCGATAATAGGCCAGAGTTTCTTGATCCTATCGTCGAGAATCAACCGCTCGGCCTCCCATCGCTTCCGCTCAAGGGCTTTAGCTTCCATCTGCTTCTCGCCTCCGAACCAGGAATGCTTGGCTTTCTCGATGCTCTCGCGTTCCTCTCTTTCCGCCTGCGCGACCAGCTTGGAGACCATTGTCTTCCAGTTCTCCAGACCCACGCGGAGACACTCGGCGCAGCGGTGCCGGGGGTTATGGTCTTCCAAGCCACCGAGTTCGAGGATGGTGGATTCGGCCATGTCGACTGCGTCGCGCGTCCAGGCGAGACCGGCTTCCTTGGAGGAGGACGCGTAGATGATCTCGCCGATGTATGTCATGAGGCCTGCCTCTTCGCAGGCGGAGGTGGGAGTGCGGAGCGGGGGTTCGTCGCCCGATGGGAGGGGCGGGGGGTATTCGGCCGGGACCAACATGGTTTTAATGGAGTTGTAGAGTGAGACGAAAGGGTCTCGGGTTGATTTGGGGATGGATGGGAGGACAAAAGGTTTGGCGTCAGGCGGAGGCGGGGGGAGGGAACGGCGAGCTTTAAGCACCGATGTGAAGATGGATAGGGCGGTGGGCAGGTTGCCTTGCCGGGCATGATGTACCGCCAGCGCAGTCGATACCCGCAGTATATTCTCAGACGGTAGCGCTTGGGTGTCGTTCTTCAGGACCCCCGTTTTCGTGTTCACCACTTTGCTGGCGTCTACCGGTGATCCGGCCGCAGCGATATCCATGGCCCAAGCATACATGTCGCGGGCGGTCTCCTGCAGCCCCTTATAATCCAGCCAGTCGGCATAAGCCAACGCGGCATCAAGCTTCTGCCTTGTGTCAAACCCCTTGGTCGTCAAAACCTTCATATAAAACACCTCCGGACTCGGCGACGCCGGCTCGCTATCCTCCTCCCGGGGGACCTGCTTCTGGCCCGCCGGCATAGGCTTGGGCCGAGGATTCGAAGGACCAACCACATACTCCGCAGGAGCAGAGATCCGCTGCTTCCGATCCGTCAGCCACCCCTCCAGATTCTCCGCGGCCTTGGCCGCCCCCATCAGCGCCTGGTGATAGCCCCTCCGCCACGGCTCACTCTTAGCCGTGATATCGAAGCCGGTCCTCCCCACGCCCTCAACAAGAATCCCACCCTCCGCCTGCTCCTTGATCCCCTTACCCTCGCCCTCCGGGTTCTCCAGCCGCTCCAGCAGTTCCCGCAGGTACCCCGCAACCATGGGCCAGTTGGTCATGAGCTTCCCGATCTGCTCGGGGTTCTGCAGCGCCTGCGCGGACCGCAGACACCAGCGACTCTTCCACGACCATTCCGACGGCGTGGGCCACTGGTGCTCGATTTCCTCTTGGTAAACGCCCAGCTTGATCACCTGGAACAGTACCAGGATGGCGTAGAACGTCAGCCCGATCCGCAGCCCGCGCGACAGGCGGCGCTTGTAGTAATCGCGGCGCTCGGTGGAAATTAACCGGGCGAAATGTTGACGGAGATGGATCGACAGGGGCGGGAGAGGGCGAGTGCTCGCCAAGGGCGACAGAAATGGTACCTGAGGCCGACCTAGTGGCGGGGAGAGAAGCAGAAGTCGGGATCGGTGGGTGAATGGACGGAATTGATGGCGGAGGCCATGGCTGCTCGGCGGTATTAGTGGCCGGCTCACTGTTGGTATTCGACCAGCAGAGACCCGAGGTGGTAGCATGCTCTAACGTTTGGTGTCGATAATTGTCTGTAGGTCCTAACTCATTGCCTTTCTAGAGAGAAGATGTCGCAGACGCATTGACGAATCGTTATGTTTGTGCTGTTTGCATCCGATGACAGTTACACATGGGTCACGTGATATGGGCCGAGTCAAGATCATGTTGAGATTATTGATACTCGCCGGACACAGGTTGATTATTCTATAAGACACTTGGGCAATTGCCAAGGGGAATCAAGGCATTAAATTTCACACAGAAACAGTATATTCTATAAACAGATCCTCCAAGTATTTACTCGAAATCCCCAATGGTATCACAGAACAGTCATCCAAAGCGCCTATGCTACTCTAAGAACGGTCAAAGAAGCCCTCGGTCTCGAGCATGAGGATGATCTCGTGGACGATGCTGCGAACGGTCTGCTTCGAAACATCGACGGTAAGATCAGCCTTGGAAGGTGTCTCATAGGGGTCGTCGACACCAGTGAAACCCTTGATCTCGCCGCGGCGGGCCTTGGCGTAGATGCCGCGCTTGTCGGTCTTCTCGCAGTACTCGAGGGGAGTAGCAACATGGACCAGGAAGAAGTTGCCGCCAGCCTGGGTAACAGCGTCACGGGCGGCGTTGCGGGACTCCTCGTAGGGAGCAATAGGGGAGGCGATGACGGCGGCACCGGCGCGGGTTAGCTCACCGGCAACAAAAGCGATACGCTGGATGTTGGTGTGGCGATCCTCGCGGCTGAATCCCAGCTCAGAGGAGAGCTCGTGACGGACGGTGTCACCGAGCAGGAGGGAGACGGAGCGGCCTCCCTGCTGGTTGAGGGTGACCTGGAGAGCACGGGCAATAGCGTCCTTGCCGGAGTTCATGTACCCGGTAAGGAAGATGGTGAAACCCTGAGTGTGGCGAGGAGGGCTAGACTCGCGGAGGATCTTGACAACTTCGGGATAAGAGAACCATTCGGGGATGGGAGCACCGGTGCGCAGGCGGTTGCGCAGCTCGGTACCGGAGATATCCAGGGTCTTGACACCAGCGGGGACCTCGTCCTTGGGCTTGTACTCATCGGTGTCGGGCAGGTAGGTGACCTGCTGGAACTCGACGACCTCGATGCCGAGCTCCTCCCTGTACTTCTCGACAGCGTGCTGAGCATCGTAAGGGCCGTAGAATTCCTGGCCCTTGGAGTTCTTGCCGGGACCAGCGTGGTCACGTCCGACGATGAAGTGAGTGGCACCGTGGTTCTTACGGATGATGGCGTGCCAGATGGCCTCACGGGGTCCACCCATACGCATGGCAAGACCCAGAAGACCCAGGACGGCCATTCCGTTGGGGTAGCGGGGGAGGAGAGCCTGGTAGGCGCGGACACGGGTGAAGTGGTCGATGTCACCAGGCTTGGTGAGACCGACAACGGGGTGGATCAGGACATTGGCCTGGCGAGCGCGAGCAGCACGGACGGTCAGCTCACGGTGAGCTCTGTGCATGGGGTTTCTTGAAACCAGTCAGCTGCAGTCCCGCGAGATTACTTTGACGTAGGTTGTGGAAAGAAATATACCTAGTCTGGAAAGCAACAACTCGGTTCCAGCCGAGCTTGTCGAAGTGAACACGCAGCTCCGCGGGAGTGTCTATAACCGGGGTTTATTAGCAATCATTTTTCGTATTTGAAGCTCGAGCGAACGATCGGACGTACAGCGGAGAGCGACATAATCGTAGTGGTTGAGCTTGTTGATGGCCTCGATCTTTCCTCCAACGTAGAATTCCTGAACCTTGTTGTAGAGATACTTAATGGCAGGGTGCTCCTCATCACCGCCAAAGACCAGCTTGGCTTCCTTAGCCCTACGTAATGAAAACAAGTCAGCCAGGCCCACTGTACGCACGGATCTCTGATTAAATGGGGCGATTACTGTGGTCAATTGCAGCGTTGCGTCTGTTGTTCCGGATAAACAACGCAGGACAATTAAACCACGTTCGCGGTGAAAATAGGACAAGATCGACAGATGCCAAGAAGGAGCAGAACGAAACTCACTTGTCAGGGCGGTAGATATCGTCAATGGTGAGGATGGCTAGATTGCGATCGTCTCTGAAGTCGCGCAGGGTGACGCGGGAGCCGGGCTTGAGCTTGCCGTCATCGATAACGGCCTGGGACACATCCAGGGTGATGGGCATGGAGAAGAGGTTGCCGTCGGCGAGACGGACATTTTCGCAAACACTGAGTGGAGCGAATTGCCGTCAGTATATCGGAATGTAATTTATTGCGTGAGAGCAAAAGTGAGAGCATACCTGTCATAGTCCTTCTGGTTCATGAAACCTGTATGCGAGGTTCGGCGTTAGCAACCACTCCCAGTCAGACCCCCTCATTAGAATTCCCCTCCCTCCGATTCCCCCGCGACAGCCTTGTGCCCCCTCGACAGCAATTGAAAATATCCACCGGTCTCAAATTGAAGACCGAAATGAGTAAACTTACCCTCCAGAGGACTGAAACCACCGTTCATAATCAGTTCGAGATCGCAAAGCTGGCGCTCGGTGAGGACAATGGCAGGCAGCTGCTCGGCCTCAATCTCGAGCTCGTCGTGGCGGGGAGCATCACGGGCGAGCAGGTCCTTGAGGACACCACCATGAGGAGGATTGGCCATTTTGTGTGTGAAGAAAAAGATACAGGGAACTTTTTTTGGAGGTAAGTTATACAAAAGGTGGAATGCAATAGAGGGGGGAAGGGAGAGGGGTAGGAAGGAAAAAGTTGGCGGGCAAGAGGAGATGAGCCAAGGGAAGACAGACTCTATCTATTAATACTAAACTTCCTTGATTACTACGAACCATAGTCTAAGATACGGACGACTACGTAGCACTGGAAACAAGAATAATAATCTTGTCCTGGAGTCTTGATGAGTCCCCATAATATTCTCTTGGGACCCGGCAAATGGCAGTTCACTGTCCGATAGTGGAGCTGGCCTTGTCTACGTCGTTGCGTACCTTTTCTCCCTCGTACATCATTATTTCTAGTATTAGGCTATTATTCTTCTTCTCCGTCCCCTGGACAATAACGCTGATACAGCGAGTCCGCGATCGTGATATTTTCATTCACTTCATACGACTGTTTCATACATTGACAGTCGAGTAAGATGTAGTGCCATCATTCGTCATCGAATCGGCCGCCGAAATCGCCGATACCAAGGTCTGCTTCCTCCTACTCCCATACATTGGTTCGGACTCCGTAATACCATCTTCAATTCGATCTACTAATCCTGTCGACTACATCTGACTAAAGGTACTGCTACTGCTGACAGTTGTACCTCCGTGGGAGTACATTGGATATCCTCGTGAATCGTCAGCGTCGCCTAGAACGAGTCATGATTTTCAGGGGAAGTGGGATTAATTACTACGCGGCGAGAGATGTTCTTACGTTGCCTCTCCCCACATCTTCAGCCTTGATGCCTCACAGGAGTCATCTCGAGTTCTCAAGATGTCAAGCATGGGCACAAAGTATGTAGATACAAAGATAGATACAGAGCAATGAAAACATAGTCCACCTCAGATCCGATCTATACCGGTATACCCATCAAAACACTGCAGAAAAGGTTGAAACCACAGCTCTAGAACTCCTTCTAGCCTGAAACGCCACATGCTGCTACCGATAAGCCTATCAGCGGCAACTCAAGCCATCACGACATTCTCCGCACGGCTTGCGTGATTGTCAATTTCTTTTTGAGTTTGGTGGTTCTTGGCATTTAGTGTCACGTGCCAAAATCAGCCCTATCTTCTCGTCCCTGTCATTGCCAGTACGGTGGTTTACTGACCGCCAGCAGTTGGAGAATCGAAACAGTGCTTTAACAGTAACCATCAAAGTCAATCAGGTTAATAATAGTAACAAACATTGGAGTACGAAGATTTGCACGACAGGAAGTTGACTCCCAGCTCGTTCTACGGCCATCGTGATGGTCGATGATGGGCTTAATTCGAACCGTCAAGTCCTGGCCTTCAGGGTTTAAATAAGAGCTTGGTGCTTGTCTCAGTCTAGTAAACGACCTTGCTGAATCGTACTCAACATGACGTTGATTGCACGCGAGATCTTCCATAGTAGGAATGAGCTGGCGCTCAGCAGGTCAACCGCTGAATGCTCGTGCCGGCAACAACAGATAAAACAGACACAACGACTGGACGTCGCAAGTCAGCGTCTCGGATGTTCTATTGAAAAAGAATGCTTTGCTATGCTCTAACCTCTCTTCGACCGAAGGATGAAATACCGCTTGAAGATGGATGGTTGCTGTTGTCCAATCAGAATACTGGTGTTCCTGCTGATAATTGTGATTAGATTGATAAGATTAGATCTAATCACGCCATCGCGCAACCTGCACCAGATGTCAGTACCCCTCAATCTTAGACTCTTAGTCTGGTGAATGCCAAAATTCCTCTTTTATCATCTTGCAATGGGTTCAGGCGTGGATTTTATGTGTTTTTGGATTGACTGTCACGTAAAGCCTGGGCATTACCTTGACGATGGGTAATTAATCCGTAGTGAATGCACGATACAGGCTCTTAGTTTTACACCACATATGGCCTTGCTCTTGGCGACTAACCCCATAGTATGAAGAATGGATTCGGTATATATACCTTGAATTCAGTCATTCTGCAGTTTAGTCAAGTCAATTCAGCTTCGAAGAAAATCATTGTTTCTATCATGCTAATCGTTATTATGGATAGACCATATGTCATCCTTTGCCAGGTGCCAGTCCTCGCTATGTACAAAACCCCAAGGGTAGGAAACGGCACGGCAAGCTTTTGAACCCATTAACCCCACAATTCATAACGGCATAAATCCCTCGGCCTGGTGCCTCTAAGGGATGTCAAATGATATCAAGGCTGCGTGAACTTCGCTAGATGTAACCCGAGAACGCCAGTGAAGATGCAAATCAAGAACAGACAAGAATGTCTACGCAGTGGTGAGCTGGTTTTGAAGCGCCTGCGACAGAGCCTCCTCCTGTCTCTTACGCTCCAGCTCCATCAGGTACTGGGCGTACTTGGAGCGAGGGTTGTGGATGCCACACTCGGTCTTCTCCTGGCCCTTCCAGCGGCCGGATCGCTCGTCCTCGTTCTCCTTGACGGGCTGTGTGGAGTGCCAGTCACCGATGCTCTTGTAGCCACGGTCCAGCAGTTCGTTGTAAGGCACATCGTTCTCCTTGATGTATTGCTTGACCTGTTCGAAAGTCCAGTTGGCCAGAGGGTTGACCTTGATGAGGCCGGCCTCGTCGACCTCGATCACATCGAGATCGCCACGCTTGCCACCCTGACTGCGGCGGCGTCCAGTGAGAACAGCATGAACGTTGAGTTCACGATAGGCACGCTGGGCCGGTTCGACCTTGGCAACCCAGTCGTAGAACTGATCGTCTGTCTCCCAGAGCTTGGCTCCGTACTTCTTGGCAAACTCTTCCGCAGTTTCGACACCAGCTGGCTTGTAGATGTGGATGTTGTTCAGCGGGTACCTCTTGCGGACACGGTCAACCAGAGCCAGGGTTTCTGGGAAGTGGTGGAGAGTGTCGAGGAAGATCAAATCAACCATCTGTGGGCGGGGCACTTGAAGCTTGGAAAGCATGTCAAGGGTGACAAGTCCGGTCAAACCAAACGCAGTGGTCTGGAAGAGATGAGGAAGGGATGTGATACACCATCTCAAGATTTCTATGTCTGTCAGCTACTTGGCATACTAGAGAGTCCCGAGGGAAACACGGTACTAACCTTGAGGCTCAAGGAACTGGAGTTGCCTGTTAAGAAATTGCAGGTGTGGTTTGGTGAAGACAATCTCCGGAGTGTAGACATCACTTGAATCCCCACTGACATAGCCGGATTCTGTCTGAAGATCTCTGGAGTCGACAGCGGCCTCTGTATCAGAGGTGTAGTTCGAAGGCAGCTTGGCAGGCATCCTGAGTTGTGTTGTGATGGACCTCTTCGGGTAACCAGGGGATAAACACAGGAACGTTGTATGATGAGTGCAACAATGAATTGTTTATGTTTATAGATCTAGAGTGGATACAGAGATATGATGAAAGAGGGAGAACAGAACAGATTCAAGTCTGGTTGACTGATAGAAGGACCAGAACAGAGATGCCAATGGCAAGACTGATATAAGAGAGAGGCAGACAGGGACAATCACGACATAATCCGGTAACGGCACGCTGCTGCCCCCCTCTATGTTCTCATACTTACTTGCGCTATCTGCCGGCTGATTTTGCCGTGCTCAATCACGACATTGGCTGTGACCGCCTGCCCTTTCAAGAGGCATTGCTGAAAAATTCAATTTCCTCATGCCCTGGGGAAATCACGCAATACTTGCGCTTCCAGCATCTCTGCCCAACCGGAATGGCTTATGTCATCAAGATCTGCTTGCAAGCTCTCCTGTTCACTGTCCCTTCTGGAACAAGCGTGGAACACAGGAGAATGAGCATTATTAATGCAGATGAAGGGTATTCATCCGAGCTGCAGCCTGGCAGAGTCATAGATTGCTCGTCTTATCAGCTCCCGGGCTGCATCCGAGATGAGCCCGTAGTCTCATCGCCATGCTAGGGTCTCTGGTTGGTGTATCAGCAAGCGTCGAAACGAGGGGAAGCAAATATCTTACACGACACCGAATCATGGTCCTGTTGCCCATTTAGACATTTAAACAATCAGTGCGTAAGTCCGAATATAGACACCTAGTATGGCCTTTATTTGTTCGGACAACTGGCGTCGCAGCCCAAGTTATAATAATAACTGGCTCGGTTTGATCAGGTGCTGATGTTTCTGCCGGGCGGTGAAGCGCCAAGCCTACTCTCACACACGTGATTCATGTTTTCCTCTTTGGGACTGCCCCCACCACGTGCCGCCCACCGGCCGATCGTCGCAGGGAACTGACAAACTACCGACGACGTACTGCGACTAGTCAAGAGTCAACCATCCCCGTTATCATATCATTATTATTCTTGTCTCGGACTGGCTGTTTACTTCGAGTCTCCAGTCATCTACCAGGGTGCCTTTTGGACGATCGCTTTCGGTTGTTTGTGAAAAAGACCGCCGGTTATCCGCTCTATCGTTCTGCCCCTCTCAATCACAAGAGACTTTGTCCGTCGTTGCGACACAATGGCAGCACCTAACCCTATAGCACGTCCAACGCGTCCGGTGCTACGACAGTCTCTTTCGAGTAACTCCTTCATCCAGGACCATCAACAGTACAAGCCCCCGGTTTCATTCACTCAAAACATCGAAGATGTCCTGGGAGCCTCCCGCGAGTCTCTACTACAGTCGCTCTCTAATCTCCATGTTAATCCCATCAGCCCCGATCCCGAAAAGGTCACTGAAAGCGGCATTGTTCACACCATTTTCAATCATCAGACAAATCCCCTTCCTACTGGAACTCCAAAACTGGTAGCAACTATCATCTACAAGTCCGCCAATCCCGTCCATCCTCATCTCCATCCCGACTCTTCCCCAAATGCGAATAAGCTCCCGTCCCCCATGGTTCCTGTGGGATCCGCCCCGACGGTTGATATTGAGAAGCTCCCACGGGAGCCTCCAGCTCCGGAGCCGGAGCCACTCGACCATCTGTACGGTCCGTTCGTCTCCCAGCTGTGTTTGACCAATTTCCTCCAGATTATGGAATCCCTTTCGACGCCTTACCAGCGCATGAATACCTCTCATCGCTGTTTGGATCAAGATGATCAACCGCGCGTCGTCGAGGTTACCCTCTCTCCTCCGCCGAACCCCGAGTATCTTTCTTTCGACGATCTTCGCAAACACGAGAGCATATGGCGGTTCGAGCGCGAATGGAATGTCGAGGTGGTCCTTCAGAAGGAAAGCGTCTTCCGTCGTCACAAGCGTCTGGTCGTATTTGATATGGACAGCACTTTGATCCAGAATGAGGTGATCGACGAAATTGCCAAATTCGTTGGCGTTGAGAAGGAAGTCTCGGTTCGTAGCGGGCAGCTTCAAGTATAATGAATAGCACAACCACTAACTTTGGGCGGCCAGGAAATTACTGAACGTGCCATGAACGGAGAGCTTGACTTCTCCGCGTCGCTTAAAGAGCGTGTCGGTCTCTTGAAGGGCGTTCCAGCTGACGTGTTCGAGAAGTTGAAGCCTATACTCACCGTTTCGCCTGGCGCTCGCGAACTGTGCAAAGCTCTGAAGAAGCTCGGTTGCAAACTCGCGGTCTTGAGCGGAGGATTCCAGCCTCTGGCGGAATGGCTCGCTGGCCAACTCGGCATCGATTATGCGTTTGCCAATCACGTGGGTTCCCCCCGTTCCTCATGCCAACTTCCTTGAGCCAGTCATTGACTAATATTCCTTTTCAGCTCGAAATCGACGAGGCGTCTCAAATCCTCACCGGCAAGCTTGTACCGACTCACCCTATTATCGATGCAAGCAAGAAGCGTGAGCTTCTCAAGTCTCTCGCGGCAGATAACGGCATTCTAATCTCCCAGGTCGTTTCTGTCGGCGACGGTGCGAACGACCTTCTTATGCTTCATGCGGCTGGCCTTGGAGTCGCCTGGCGCGCCAAGTCCAAGGTCCAGCTTGAGGCACCGACTCGTCTCAATGGTGAAAGTATGTTGGACATTCTCTATCTCTTTGGTATGACGAAAGAGGACATCAAGGAGTTAGTTTCCGACGATGCTTGAAAACCATGCTTCTCATGGTTTGGTTCACCGATACATATCACTCTTACCATGAATGTTCTTCTGAATGAAAGGAGAGCATGGGAATTGTCCGCCTGGTGCGGACAGCCCTCACTTCAATGCCGTCTTGTCAACAAGCATAGAGAGCATTGGACGAAGGTTTCTTGCTTTCGATCCTTATTTGTCTTTGGCCTAGGAGGCTCGGATTTGATATGTGCGAGCCATCTACTTTCTTTTCCTTCCTACTATCGTGTTTCGACTCTTTTTTGACAATGCTCTTTTCGGATACCGATTCTGTTTGAGGCAGTGGGTTGTTCAAGCGTACGGAGTATAGCGTCTCATGCGGGCGTAGGGTGTGCAAGAGAGGGTGGTAGATATGCATGAAATTTTACGAATAACAGATAGCAAATATACACACGATGAGTCCAACTCATTGATTTATGTATCGTATTTAGCTCGACGAATTTCAACCCGTCACAGTGATATGATGACCTGTGTCATATAATAGGCCCAAGCGATGAATACTGCAGTGATAATCATACCCGAAGCGAATCCGACGAAAAACCAACAGGCGCCGATAAATGATCCTAAAGACGCAAAAGAGAGAAATAGAGAGAACCCAAGGGAAAATTCACCGCGTCACCTCATCCACGGCAACTGGCCGAACGCCGACTGTTTCCGTACTTCCAGAGGCAGCTCTTCTCTTCTTCAGCACATTCTCAATGAACGCCTCGCCGGCCTTGTAGCTGCTCCGAACGAGAGGACCCGACGCGCAGTAGAGGAAGCCCATGTCAAGCGCCCGCTGGCGCCACAGCTCGAATCGATCCGGAGTAACGTACTCGTGCACAGCCATATGACGTTTCGTCGGCCGCATGTACTGCCCGAACGTGACAACGTCCACGTTGACCACGCGCAGCTGGCGCAGCGCATCCCACAATTGCTCATCCGTCTCCCCGAGGCCAAGCATCAGCGAGGTCTTGGTGATAAGCGAGGGCTGGGCGTTCTTCGCGGCCTCGAGCACACGGATAGACTGCTGGAAGTTGGCACGGCGATCACGGACCTGAGGCGTCAGGGCTTCCACTGTCTCGACGTTGTGTGCGTAGACATCCAAGCCGGAGCGAGCGACCAGCTTCACCATCTCCAGATCGCCCGCGTAATCACCGGTCAAGCATTCCACCAGGATACTGGGTGCCTTCTGTTTAATCTTCATCACTGTCTCTGCAAAGTGCCGGGCACCTCCGTCCGCGAGATCGTCCCGGTCAACGCTGGTCAGGACCACGTACCCGAGTCCCCAGCGCGAGATCGCTTCGGCTGTGTTCTCCGGTTCGTGCGGGTCGAGCGGGGACGGCGTCCGCGAGGTCTTCACGCTGCAGAATCGGCAGCCGCGGGTGCAGGTATCGCCCATCAGCATGATGGTGGCCGTGGCGGCGGATTTGTCGCTGCCACCCCAGCAGTCGGAGATGTTGGGACACCGCGCTTCTTCGCAGACAGTGTGCAGATTAAGGCCGCGCAGGTCCTTCTTAAGACGCTGGTAGTTCTTCGAGTCGGGGATCGGGGTCTTCAGCCATGACGGCAGACGAGTCATTTCCTTCTTGCGGCCGGCGGGCCCGACGAGGGCGGTCTTGAGAGCGTATGCTTCGGAGGGGTCGAGAGGGGCATTGTCGTTCCCGACAAAGTCTGCGAACGATGGGCCGGCATTCAATTTGTCTTTGAACGTTGTCCGTCTGCGTGCTGTTGTTGTCGTTGTAGTGCTGGTGGCCGACGGCGAGGGTTCTGTTGTAGCATAACCACGGCAGCTGATGGGGGCAACGATTCCGGTTCGCGACAGGGACCTTGATGACGCACAGAGCGATCTGAAGTGACTTGTTGATACTGCCATTATGAAAGCCCTGGAGTGGTTATGTGGACGATATGAGGATTGGCAGAGTGACCATCGATGATATCAAATTATAATTATTAGTATGATAATATTCCGCGGGAAAGGCTCCAGCAACTCTGGCGACTCAACGATTACCTCCGACGCTGACTCATCTAGATTAACTGCCTTCGGATCGATGCCTGAGGTTTCCACATTCGGCGCAAGGGACTAAGCACCGAGTAGGATCACTTTGATAGATTGCACTATCGATCAGAATTTCTGTTGGAGTATCTTTTGATTGCTCTTGATTATCTTCTCTTTAATCATACACCAGCCACAGCCGCCAATGATATACAAAAGGAAAAAGCGCGCCAAATTTGGATTCCAAGTGGCAGGTATATAGAACGCATTGGTCTAAACAGCAAGAGAACGACATATTCGAGAGTGATTGGAACTGAGGGAATAAAGTAAATATATAAGACCAACGGTGGTACCTGTAATGCTCACCATAAGGGCATGAAAGTCATTCGAGATGAAATGACGAAAAGAAGATTGAGAAGACATAAAGAAAAAGATCGGGAGCCCAGCGTATATCAAAGCTAGGCTTTGGATTCAAGCACCTGGGTTAAAACGAGTACAGCCGATTTCAATGTTTCATCAGACCGGCCGCTCACTGCGAACAGCAGGTTGTCAACGATTCGATCCAAGTCTGTGCGAAGCTCTGTACTTCGCGGTCCCAGCACGCGGTCTCTGATACGGGACGGCGATGCTGGAGTGAATTGCGTTGCTGGCGTTGAGTTTGGTTTCTCGTGGACTGGATCCAAGCGGGACAATGTCGACCGATAGGATAAGCTGCTGGTCCCTCGGTGGGTAGATGCCAACGAGGCCACATAGTTTCGCGCTATCAGGACCGCACAGAGACAGTCAAGCAGATTTTCCGCGACGTCCGGGAATATTTTGCGAAACGGTCGAATCAATGCCTTCTCGTTGTTTTGACGAAGGAACATAATGACAGGCGACGTAAGCTTCAACATATTCCGTGGGAAATCTTTAACGGACTGCTCCAGCTGTTCGATCGTCCATTCGTGGTCCCACCACCTTCGCTCTTCCTTCTCTGACATATTGGACGACCGCGCTGGGGAGGTTTGGCTCTTTGGCGGAGAGTCGGCTCTAGTCCCATGCTTTGGTTTGGGTGGCGAGAAGGACGGCCCTTCTTTGAGAACCATCTTCTCACACACTATCGTTTCGCTAGCTGTTTCTGAATGGGTTGAAATAGAATCCGTATAATGCGACTCCTTGTCATCCTGGAACTCGTCTGGCGAGTAACAGGAATTATGGGTAACATAGCCACTATCTGACATCTCCAATGGAGTGTCAGGACTGAAGGCAGATATTTCTTTTGGCATGTCCGGAGTGGAAGGGATTGGATGCTGTGTAGTATTTGGGAGCGTGTGGCTCATGGCGGGAGATGACTGTCGGGATATATCGACCAGTTTGGGCTTAGTTATGCTGCAGCTGGTGAGATCGAGAATCTGCTTTTGTATTAGTAGGGTAAGCGAACGAGTAGCTCTCAGATGGAGACTTACCACAGCCTCATCTGTAGCCTCCAGCTCACGTTTGCGTTCCAGGCGTGGAGGGCTATTTTGGACTATCTGACACTTTCTCCGGTTCAGTTCTTTTGACCTCTCGTCCTTGACATCTAGCGTCGCCGGAACACCTTGAAGCCATCTCTCAAAGTATGAGAGATTACTTGGCATCCAGCTACTCCCCACGCTTGAAACCGTTCCTGTCCGGCTTCTCTGGGCCGTGACAACACAGCTAGAAGCTTTCCCCGGCTCTGGTAGCTCAATATCGGAGAATTGAGAGGGGGATAATGTTCGTTCCGAATCGGTGGAGGCTGGTGTGAATCGTCCCTCGTCGGACTCACATCGTTTGACCAGGTTGGAGTACGCCGCATGGACATTGGTTGGTTCCTGTGTCGCCCTTTCCTCTGCTTTGGTAACCTTACCGCGCGCACCGTCGCAAGCGTCGCATGAGTTGAAATCAGAAATACAACCGCAATGTTTCATTCGTCTCTCACCCGCCTCCATCTCAGAATCCGGTTTGGGTGAGAAGTACGTCGACGACGTGGATGGCCGCGATTCTCTGGAGTCAGACAGAGGGGGGCTCGGCAGAAGTCCGAATGTCTCCAGACTCGAAGCCAAGTTCAGGTCCGATCGCCATGTTCGCAGTGTCTGATTCCCAGACATTGGCCGTGCCGCTTTCGACTCCCTTGCGGCGGCTGTGATATTCTCCAACGAAGGGGAGCCGGGCAGGCGCAGTTGGAAAGGTTCCTTCATCTTCCGTACGGAACGAAAAGGCGAAATGCAGATGGGACCCCGGTCTGCCGGCCGTCTTGACTGTGGAGTCGTGAGGTCAGGTAGTTGCTCAGGCCGAGGAAATGTTGGTGGCATGAAAGACAGAGAACTCGTCATCTGCTTCCTTCTCCGAGGCCGATAGTCTTCCGAAAGACAGGCTGATACATGTGCATTATCCGGTGCCATGGAACCTTCACGGGGCACATAGTAGGATGGTACGGGATAAGCGGACATTGTATGCTCATGATAGGTTGGTCTCGAGAACATTCGAGGAGAGGGGTGGTCCGTGGAGGACATGTTGCATGCAGAGTCGTGAGAAGAGCAGTGAGATAATGAATGTGCATTTAGCATTGGGATGGGTCAAAGAAGTCAAACCAGGAAGAAGGGAACCAGGTGCGAATCATCTAAAAGAGCCATCATCACCTATAACTACGAGCACAGCTTACACACTCCAACCATCCCTTGATGCCCTGGGGTGACAGTAGGCCAGACATTGGGCATGTGTATCTTGCCCCTTCCGGAGAGCCCCCCAAAGATTTTGGAACATGAACGAATTGGAAAGGTAACGACTTCACCATCCTTGCATGCCAGTGGGAGGTGCGATCGAAACAGTTACCACGGCTATTGGATCGACCGCGGTGACTGCGCGCCACCTGCAGGGACACCACAACGTGGGTGGTCTGCTTACCCAAGTCGATCCTATTTCGTCAGAACACAAGGAATGAGACATGCAGAGCGAGGGACAAGGTAACCCTGTGATCTTCTGAAGGGACGTCACGCTCTGTTTCTCAATCCAATTGGGTTATGGACATGATGTGCCTGTTGCACCGAGCAATCAAAGGTACGCCCCTAGGAAAGGACCCCTTGCATCGGTTGCTGTGGGCGCAGGCATTGGCGGCCATATTTGGCGATGGCCGTACAATTTCGGTAGTGGCTGCAGATATACTTTTGAGGACATTGTTAATTCATTTAGATGGCTTCAATGCCGACAGGAGGCACTGTAGAAAGAATGAGCAAGAAGACTAGGATGAATGGCCACCATGGCGAAAATAATAGTTCGCCTGGGCAGTCGATGTCGATCCATCCTTTTCCAGCGAGGAGCTGTTACTATGACAGTAGGGTCAGTAGGAGGAATTGAAGGGGGGGCAAGGATTATTGTCAATGTATTGGGGCACGAACCAGAGAATCAAAGTTAATTCCTCGGATGAATTGTCCGTTAGTTAGATTTAATATTGTCTTCCTAGATGAGCTTGATCGGCATTTCTAGAAGCATAATACAGACTACAGAGTAACTCATCTTCCCCATGAGCAAACAAGACAAACTGATCGTTTATCGCCCGCTTTATCGGTGATCCGTCAAAAGAGGAAAAAGTAAAAAAAAAGTTTCTATGATAGCTGCTCTTCATCATCAGCTCCTCTTTTCCTCTCTATCCCTTTCCCTCAATTCTCGGTCAAGTCGTCATGCTGTCTGAGAGCTTTATCGCGTCAACATTGACGTCCGTCAAGACGCCAGCAGCTGCGACCTTGAGAGATGTGGGAATATGTGTGCAAGAGTGGCAGCCCGCTCTCAACCTACGCTCTACCTTCAAAAAAAGCTCAACAGCGGCCAATTGCCTGGCTGTGAGTCCGTCACATGTGTTTGCTGCGCAGTCAGAGAAAGCCATCGTTCATGTGTACAGCCGAGAGAAGGGAAACCAGGAAGCAATTGTCCCTTTCCCGGAGCGCATACGCAGCATCGCGCTCGCGGGTGGGAAGAATGGGGATATCCTGGTTCTGGGAACGGAAGGTGGACGGTTGATTTTGTGGGAGGTGAGTGAACAAAACAAGTTGTTATAAACTCGTTCTGCGTCTGTGCTGGTTCGGATATCTGACTGGAACCCTTCAACGGTAGACTTGCACCGGGCGACAAGTGGCTACGACAGCGTCGCATTTACAACCAGTGACATCGCTCGTGGTTGATCCCACTTCCAACTTCATTCTTTCGGGATCGTCTGATGCTAGTATCCATGTCTGGTCACTCGTTGATATCCTTTCATTCACGAAACCTCCCTCGGGTCGGGACCGTCAGCAGCCAAACTCGCCCATCCGTACTTTCTCAAACCATCGCGCTGCCATCACATCCATCGCTGTGGGCCATAGCAGCGGTCGCTATAACATCGCTGTGTCCGCCTCCAAAGATAACACCGCCATTGCTTGGGATTATCACACGGGACGCCCCTTACGAACCTTCCTATTGCCCGCCTCTGCAACCTGTTTGACTCTCGATCCGGTCGACCGCGCATTCTACGCGGGATATGAGGATGGTAGCGTCCAGTCAGTTGACTTCTACAAGAGTCAGTCAATACAGCATACCCTACACGATCCTTCATTACATTCCACTCCGTCACAACCATCAGCGGAAGATCGCTGGCTTGCTCCGTCCTCCGACTTCGGTGGTGTCCACTCGCTTTCTCTGTCCTACGATGGAATGACCTTGCTATCCGGACATCAAAACGGAAAGGTCCTGTCATGGAATGTAGCTCGACGGAAATATGCATCGACTCTGGCAGATTACACCCACCCCGTGACGAATATTATTGCGATCCCCTTGGAAGGACTGCCGTCTTCCGGAAACGAGTTGAGACGAGTAGCGCACACCATCGTCAAGCCACGTTATGACCATGCTCTTTCAGAGTCTTCGGGTACGCCTGGCGCTGTCCCCGCTGACTATACATTCAGTACGCATCTGCTCGCCTCTAACACAGCCCGGCTCACTTTAAGCGATCATCAAACAAATCAATTCTCTACAGCCTTGACACACGCTTTCTTCCCTGAGTCAATGATGGAAGAAGGTCTTGCGGAGCTTGCCGCTCTCAAACATTCCGGGAACGACGGAAACCATGTCTCGACGATTTCGCAATCAGTAGTCTCCCAGCAAGCGGCAATTGTCGATGACTCCCAGATCGCATCGTTGGAAGAGGAAATTACCACACTAAAGAAGAAACTTGCCGTCAACCAGACGGCCCGCCAAGTTACCACGGATGAGGTGACTAAACTGCGCTCGGACCTGGTCAGCCTGCATGACTACGTCAATGAGCTGCATCAGAAGCAGGAACAGGCCCATCGCGAAAAGCTCCTGCGTCAAGCTCGAAAGGAAGAGCGCGAGACTCGCAGGCGGGAAGCCTGGTTCGCTGCCGAGAAGAAAGGGAAGAAGGGTGATGCCATACTTCGGCGTATGGAATTGGAAGAGGAAGCTCAGACTAGCGAAACCGATGATCAAAGCAGTGACGAGCAATGATTGTCGCTTCTATCTCCTATCTTTCCCTTCCCTTTCCCTTCCCTTTCCCTTCCCTTTCCCTTCCCTTCCCCTTCCCTTCCCCTTCCTTATAGTTCTCTGTTATGACACTATGTTTCACTGCATCTGCATATATATCGTTTGAATAGACTTCCAGGAAAGGCGCAATGAGCTAATAGTTTGGGCAAACTACATATACTGAACAGTTTGCATGTGTATATAGTCATGAACCCACCAAGGGTCTTAAGCATGGACTCAATATATAAAACTATCTCGATCATCTCATCCCTTCGACAAAAGTCCAGAACTTCTAACACCCATAGCAAACGTGTAGTCCAGGCAAACCCAACATCAATAAGTCCATCGAACGCATGAACAACCGCCACATAGCCATAGTAACGCTCAGTCCCCAATAATTCAAGCCCGAAAGGTGCTATCGTTTCGGCCGCACGTCAGAAGCCGACAGAAAAAAAGCAATAATGTCAAGAGGGGTCCATGTATCAAGGGGCTTGTGCACTGGCTCCTCCATTCTCCCTTGCTCTGAATTCTCATCAATTGGCCCATTGCCACCGTAAAAGCGAATTGAAGGGAGCAGGCATTCCTCGGATGTCAGAAGTAAGACGCCAGAATGTACAGCCTCGTGTTAGATCATCAACCAGGAATGCTTGGCTGACGGGTCTGGAAGTTGAATCGTTTCATCGGGAAAACTTCAGAGACACATTCCTCTGATCCAATTTGAAACGAAGAAGGGGCAGACCAGTGCTCACGACAGAGTAGGATAGCAACCTAACCTACCTTCCTGCCCTGCCAACCGAAAAAGAAGCCTCGCCGTAGTCGCACACCTGGTTAACGCGGAGATGATATATCCAATTTGGGGGCAGTCCGGTCTGCACCGATTGGCATGCATACTCGGGTTTCTGCGCAGGTAGGGTAGTTTCTCTAAGAAAACGAAATACAGGTCTGCCAGCAGATGAGTAGGATGAGAATGCAGTCCACTCACTGCTGCAAGAGGGTTTTCTACTGGATTTGGGTGCTGGAAATTCCCTTTATCTCAATCACCAGCTTCACAACGAGTGCATCGTGTCATCACCTATACAATGACATCGTCAACGCACATGCGCTGGATCGGGAACACAAAGCCTTGCCTAATTGATTGAACCTGATATGGCAGGTTTGTTCACAGTCTTATTCTGAGAAACACGAAGGAGGAAATGTCATCGATATTGGCACTAAGCTTCTCATTCACTGTATGATTCCACTTCCTTCGGTCACTCGGTGTATAGGCAACAGATGCTCTTGAAGTGAAGGGAGCGTCATGGCTGGCATCGCAAACGGGAAGATTGATATCATTGCAATGCTTTTGACTTTGCAGGTTGTCGCCTCTGCAAGTCATGCGATCGAAGTATGTCGAGTAACTGCCGAGTAGTACTTGCCTTTGGTAAGTAACATCGGTAGGTGAGGGTTGTCTTCGTCGGCGGCAACGCCTTTGGAAGGAGGGGATAAAAGGAGTTGGATAGACAGATGGATCCTCGTCAATAATTGCAGATCTTTTTCATCCTCCTTCGATCAAATGTCCGTCCGTGAGGAGAACAATTGACAGCTGATGGGTAGTTTGTGGATAACGTGCTCCACCAGCTATCCACCCAAACAGCAATGTATCAATGTCCATCCCTACGTTGTGCCTCATAGTTACTAGTCAGATACATAGCTTTAGACATTTGAAAGGTACTATTCTTCTGACGACAAGCTCAGTCTCAGTGGCAAGCAATAGTCTACCTTCGTTGAGGCTCGCTACTGACCACCGTACTAGTAAGCTGCAGGTGTCGCCGGTTGCGTCTCCTTTCCTGCGAGCTGGTTTATAATATTCACCCCTGAACTCGTTCCAATGCGATCTGCGCCTGCCTTCAACATCTTGACACAGTCTTCGGCGGAGCGAACTCCTCCACTGGCTTTCACCTTGGTTCCCCTTCCTACCAGCTCAACGACAGCCCGCATCATAGCGACGTCGTCAACATTGGCCCCCGCTCCCTTGAATCCCGTGCTTGTCTTGACAAAGTCGGCCCCGGCCATGCTCGATATAACAGAGCCAGCAATAATCTCATCCTTGGTCAATTGTGAAGTCTCCAAGATGACTTTCAACTTGACTGGCGACGGCGCCCCTTTCCGTACTTCGAGGACATCGGCGTAGACATCCATGTACTGCCCTTCCTTCAACTTTGGCCAATTGATCACCATGTCTAGCTCACTCGCTCCCAGTTCTGCGGCGTCCAGCGCCTCCTTCTCCTTCTCCATGGTGTCGTGCGTGCCTTCAGGAAATCCCACGACGCAGGCCACAGTGCACTCCGGGCTACCCTGGAGATTTGTAACGGCCCTGCGGACATGTCGCAGGCGAACGCAGACCGCAGCGAAGTTGTGTTTAGCTGCCTCCGCGCAGAGTTTGTCAATATCCTCGTCTGTCGCATCTAACGACAGCTGGGTGTGGTCGATGTACCGGTTCACGGAGGACGGAAGCGGGGTTTGGTATACGGGATAGACCTCCGGAAGCTGGTCCTTGTAACTGGAGATCACGGCACCCCATTCGGCATTGTTCGTAGGGAGAGTCATGGTGCTGGAAGCTTTGCTGGATGGTAGGGAGAAAGATCACACTGTCAACGCTATCAGTAGGCTGACACAGCTTTGCTGTTACGTCCCTCATCAACTGCGGAGAACCCCGATGAGTCACGTGACATAGATTTCAATGCATCACGATGAGCTACATTGGATGTTGATGTACTCTGCAGTCATTATTCATCTCAAGAATCAACAGCGGATGCGGATTGGATCTCCGAACACCCGCTCTTCCAGCAGGTATGCCACAGATAACGAGTCCACAGCCGTAGTGCATCCATGCATAGACCAGTTTCTTATCGAAACGATCTCAACTCCCTGCTGGACAGAAATTACACCATATTCGGCTCAGCGGGAGATTGCATTTACAATGTATGAATGGCAAGACATGTACGCCGAAGATGTCATTATCTTCACTGTAATAAAAGCCAAATCCCTGTGCCATGTACAAGACCCGCTGGTTCTCGTAAGGCGACCTAGCAAGAGCATCGCTGAAGGACAAGTCACAAAACATAGAGGTACTACCCAAGCTCAACGGCAGCTTTTGCACTCCGGTCCTCTAATATCGTCCACACGCCCAATCCTGCGAGGCCCAAATCCACCTCCGGGTCCGCCGCCGCCGCCTCCAGGGCTAGGACCACTGCCTCCCCAGCGAGGCCTAGCATTGTGACGGTTCCCTGACCGTGATACGTTGAACTGGGAATTCTGAGCGGCAGTATAGGGATCGAGCTATGAAGGTCAAATGTCAGTAACTGGCGTATACTGGGCGGAGTGAACGATCCGGCGAGGCGCGGAGGAACGACCAAGTCGTGGACTATCGACGGGTCAAACATACCGAGAAAAGGCTCACGAAATATAAGCCGAGGAAGAAGTAGATATTCTCGAAGAAGCGTAGAATGCGAACGGAGAGGGGAGGACTAGAGTGGGATGACATTAGTCTTCTGCCTTTCGCTTTCTAGTACTGGCTATCGTATCCGTACCTTGCGAGCACCTGCCCGTTCGAGAGATATGTTTTGTTGTCTGCTGGCATGTTGCAGTCGGTGCTGTTGATGATAGATGGCTGTTGAGACGGTTGATGCTGACAAGAGCTGACTTGAGCATCCGTGGAGGACACTGAATGCCTAGTGGCGGAACCCGTGACTCCGTATAGATCCCTGTATCCGTAGAGAGGTACGGAGAAGATATATTTCACTCACCCCCCAACCAGACTATCTACCTCAAGCCATGCTTCCGATGGGTTTCACGTCAGTACTCCCAGTCCCTTTTACTTTGACAAATACTCCAAGAATTAAAACAAGTCTGAATTTACTTTTAATGCAAAAGCTAAATGAGAAAGCAACGTGACCAATTCATAGTGTTGAAACATAATCTATATGGGTATCTCTATCTCAAATCGAAGACCTGTTGAAACAAAACTCCCCGCTCATGATTGTGATCTCTCATAACTCGTGTCCAGAAAATCACCGAATGCAAGTGCTAGCCGTATCAAGAGGCATTCAGCACACTACCGTCCCTCATAGACTCATCCAAAACAGCATGCAATTCATCTAGGCCTCGAAATCCCTCCTCAACGATCCATTTTTGACCGCTTGGTCGGTGTAGAACATGGCAGCTGGCTCCGACAATGAGCAAACCGGGAGGGCGAGACCCTTCAGCTTCAAATGCCAAGCAGACATTCTCAAGAGTTGAACGAATAACCCGCTGATCCGTGCATGAAGCCCGTTCCACGATGGCGCATGGAGTATCCTTGGGCCAGGCCGTTCTCGCAGGGGAGCCATCATCTGTCACCGGTAGCGTGGTCAGTGATTCCACAAGTGCAGATAGTCTATGCAGCGCCATCAGGAAGACGACTGTCTGAGTCGGTACGTAAGTAGGAGGCTCTGGAGCTGCGCCTTTCCTTCCAGTGCCGGTACAGACCAGAACCTGGTCCGAAACACCACGATGGGTAGCAGGAATATCCGCGAACAATGGGGCACTGAGCGCGCTAGTGATTCCGGGAAGAACCAAGGGGGTAAACCCTTCGCCTCGGAAGTACTCAAATTCCTCTCCTCCTCGACCATAGAGATACGGGTCTCCCTGCTTCAGCCGGAGTACGTACCGCCCCTGGCGCAGGGCTTCGATTCCCATTTGCATAAACTCTTCTTGTGCTTGATCCGCGTTTCCGGGGAATTTCCGCGCTATATGGACCTCAGTCCTGCGCGGAATCAAGTCCAAGACTGGAGCAGGCACAAGCTTATCCGCCAATATAATGTCTGCATTCTGGATCGCATGATAAGTTGCGCGAGTGAGCAGATCGGGATGACCAGGACCAGAGCCAGCCAGAACAATCTTTCCCTTCTTAGACAACAGCGCAGTCCCATTCATGTCGCTGGCATTTTCTTTCCCAGCAGAGTAGGCCTGAAGGATTCTTTCAATATCAGAATCGGTAATAGCGGCGAGTTTGCGTAATGGCCAATACTCGCAAATCTGGGAGAGCCAGCGCATGCGTCTTGTTTTGGCGGCCGATTTGTCATGCTCGGTGACTAGATTATTGAAAGTATGTTTTTGACCTGTCGAATCATCGTCATCGCCGTCGAAAATGCCATCACAGAGTCCTGCAGCGTAGTCTTCTGCCCAAAGACGCCTCCTTACCGCACCGAGTCTGTCGATGGCAGTCCCGAGATTCGGAGGAAGCGAAGCAGAAATTTCCCTCCTCAGGCGAGAAGCAAGCTTGCAGCCACGCCCCGAAGTCGTAATTCCGATGTGCAGAGGACCATCTGAGTACGTAGAGAGCAAGCTAAAGGAACAGAGATCCGGTGCGTCAGATACATTCACCGGGATTCTCAGACGTCGGCAAAGCTTCGAAATGTGGGAACCTGTTGAAATGTCAACAGTCACGAACGCTGCAATAGGAAAATTGATCAATGCTTACTCAACGGGTCACTCGCGCCGAGAGTGACAAACACCATGTCGACAACATAGTCGACTTCTTCCCTCCCAAGGGCGGTTAGATCATCGTCTCGAAACGATCTGCGTATCCATTGTGCTGAGCCGTCTTCGAAGCGTTCGGTCAATGTATAGTGCACATCGACCGTATCTGGTGCGATGATGATAGGTTTCGCTCCGACGCCTACACTCTTCGCACAACGGGCTCCTGCTAACGGGTTCGTCCCAATAATTAAGTGCACCTGATGTTCGGTGTTCATAGCCATCAGCAAAGGTGCTTGACAGCCATTGTCGCAAGACGCATCCTTCATTGTGACAGATTGCCACCGCAAGCAATGTCCAATGCGAAGAGCTTTGGTTCTCTTCTATGAGGTAGAAAACGTGAATATGAACGCTGCAGAAGGGTTGCTTTGACTCTTATATCTAGTCCAACCGCTTTCGATCCTCAACCTTAAGCAAAAGGGTTCGAATGACTTTTTGGATTTCCGCGGAAATACCGAACCCAGGATGAAGCTTATTCATACGCTGGAGATAACAGTGACTTCCCCCAGATGACAGTCGCAGATGACAGGACCGATAAGCTTATCAAGAGTATTATAGAACAGAAATTCAAAGAGAATCTGTCAAGTGCATCAAGAAAATAATTGACTCTTTAAACATTTCAATTCTTTCCGCTGGTTTGTACGCCGTGGAGCCCGAAATAGTTAATGCGATATTGCGTGATCGTACCTTTTGCTTATCTAAGCCTCCCAGCGATGTTACCAGGAACAGATGGGATAGACTGGTAAGAAAATCACATTAACGATAATAATAACGGGTCCAGTTGGAGGAATTGACAAGAGACTGGTGGAAGGATCTTAATGGCAGCCAAAGCAAAAGCCTTCATGCTGGTAGTGACCATAGGTCCTCCATCGTAATCTGACTGATTCTTATCGCCATGTCCCCAAGCATCAGTTGAACCTTACATCGTGTGAGCTTCGATAAAGACATCTTCTAAGGAGGCTAAACGCCCCAAAAGCTGCCCTCGATTTCTCAGGACTTCCATTGTGAGAATATCGGACCGCGAAACAGCGGTGCATGATAAAGGAAGGTTTGTTGATCCAGGATCGCGCGAATGTAGTTGATCGGACTGATGCCATGTCACGTGACACGAAGCTTCCGCCAGCTTGAGCTGGTCCGGAGAGCAAGGCGCAGGTACATCGTACATACTGTCAGAGCTTCAAGTCCATCTATCTAGAATCTATTTCAAACCTAATCAGCACTCTTCTTTCAGAATTAGTGGAACCTCTGGGGTATACAAATACAGAGCTTCCAATTTCTACGCATCAGTACGACGATTTCAAGAAGTGACGTCTCAGCGCTTGTCACCATGTCCGACGGAGGCCTCTTGAAGCCGGAGAAGGATTTCTCGAAGGATGCTGACAAGCTGATCCCAGAGGCAGAGCAGCTGGCAAAGGTTTGAAGCATTTGCCCTCTGATGTTAATCTAGTACTAATGGTGGCTCCTAGTCCGATGTTGAAGCTGCCATCGATAAACTCCTGGTTCTGGAGAAGCAAGCACGACAGGTATGCCATCATACCCGATTCCTCCTTTCCTGACGACTCAAACTAACCTGACACTCGATTCAGGCTTCTGATCTCGCTACTACTTCACGGATCCTTGTCACCATCGTCACAATCTGCAAAGACTCGGGCAACTGGAATCTCCTCAATGACCAAGTGCTCCTGCTCTCCAAAAAACATGGTCAACTCAAACAGGCGACAACGAGGATGGTTCAGACGGTGATGAAGTTTTTGGATGAGACACCTAGCATGGATGTGAAGTTGTCTGTGATCGAGACATTGCGGACCGTAACCGAAGGCAAGGTAAGTGCTCCGGCCCGTCGCTCCAGCACACTGTCGCTGATACCCTTTGCAGATTTTCGTCGAAGTAGAGAGGGCTCGTGTAACACGCATTTTGTCGAACATCAAGAAATCGCAGGGTGACGTCAATGCTGCCGCCGACATCCTTTGCGAGCTGCAGGTGGAAACCTTCGGTTCCATGACGAGGCGTGAGAAGACCGAGTTTATCTTAGAGCAGGTAGCTCTTTGCATAGAACGTGGTGATTGGTCACAAGCTGCGATCTTGAGTCGCAAGATCAACAAGAGATACTTCGCACGCAAGCCAAAGAAGTCAGCAGAGGAAATTGAAAAGCTCAAGAAGGCGGCTGAGGAAAGAGAAAAGACACGCGCTCCCGATGAACCTCCCATGGAAGTCGACGAAGACGTGACAGATTTGAAGCTCCGCTATTACGAGCAGCAGATCATTCTCGCAAATCATGACTACAAGTATCTGGCTGTTTGCAAACACTACCGTGAGGTCCTGAACACGGAATCAGTGCAGAATAACCCGGAGCAACTGCGAGCAGTAAGCCGATACCTAACCTGTCTTCCTCATGTGGAAACTGACAATAGTTACCAAGGTGCTTGCCCGAATCGTCTACTACATTGTCCTCTCTCCATACGACAATGAACAGTCCGATCTGCTGCATCGCATTCAGCAAGATTCTCGACTCTCCTTAGTTCCTGTTGAAGCTCGCCTGGTCAAGCTCTTCACCGTCCCAGAGCTGATGCGTTGGCCCATGGTTGCCGAGCAGTTTGGTCCACATCTCTGCAACACGGACGTGTTCAACGCGCAACCCAGCCAGTCCGCGGAGGATCAGGCACATAAGAGGTGGCAAGATCTCCGCAAGCGCGTCATTGAACACAATGTCCGCGTGGTAGCCAAGTACTACACTCGCATTCAGATGGGCCGTCTGACTGAACTCCTTGATCTGACCGAGGAAGAGACAGAGAAGTACATCAGCGAGCTGGTGACATCAAAAACCATCTATGCCAAGATTGACCGTCCCGCACGACTGGTCAACTTCGCCAAGCCTCGAGATGCCGATGATGTGCTGAACGAATGGAGCAGCGACATGAAGAGCCTTCTTGGGTTATTGGAACGCATCGACCATTTAATTACCAAGGAAGAGATGATGGCCAGAATTCTTCCATCCCGCGGGGAGAAGGGCAAGGCTCGTTGAGACGCATCTGGCTGGTGGAGCATATATGGATAGAGTCATGGTTGGACTGGGCACTTAGATATTTTGCAACAGCGTGTAAAATATACTGATAGTGAACGAACCCGGATTAATGCGTAACGCAGAATTCCATAGCACAGACCTTCGTGCCTTCGGTACTGATCGTCAATTGTCATATTGTATTCTTCTAAGGCACGATACTTCTAAGTCTATAGACATGATCTGAATAGTAGAGTCAGATATATACAAAGCGGGTAGTAAGGTCAAAAATGGCGACCCAAGTCTAAAATGGCAAATCCATATCCCTAACGTCGTCTTCCTTTGCATCGGCCTTCGCTTGCTTTCCTTCCAGTTGCTCTTTGATGAACCGCACCGCAGCATCCAAATACGGTCTTTGACTAGGCAAAAAGTGCCCACCAGGATGCCAGACAACCTTCCCCTCTTTTTCCGGATCACCAGCACAGGCTTCGACCAGCGCACGACTGCGAGTATCGTCAACAACAGCATCTAACGATCCCAGAACATGCAGAATAGGTGTTTGAATAGGCGGATTCTCATAGAACGGCCGATATCGCGGTCCAGGCGATCGAAACCCACTATAACACAACGCAAACTTCAGAGGCGGATGGCCCACTTCCTCAAACGACGCAGGGAATGCGACACCCGCAACAGGCTCCTTGACCTCGAACCCCTCCGACGCAACCTTGGGATCAGCGAAATGCTCGAATGCCTCCTTCCGGCCGGGCTCAAGCAGCGACGCTACCATGGCGGCCATCGCGGCTCCCTGCGAGAACCCGATCACGCCGTCGAAGGGCCCTTCCTCGCGGAGGACCTTGGCGATGGCATCCAGGCCGCCTTCAAGGCCAATGTAGAGGGGTGGATCGGCGGTGTTTGAGCGGCGATACCACCCGTATGCCTCGATTTGCTCCTGCTGTTGTTCTGCGGTGGACCCCTCTGCGGGCGGCTCGTAACCTGGTATGTCGGCGGGGTTGAGGCGCGTAGGGCCTGTTGGGTAGATGGCGGAGACTTCGTGGAGGGGGAATGCCTTCGTGATGTGCTTGATGAGGGCGCGGCTTTTGGCGTGGAATAGGGTGCCGGACTGGGTGTAGCCATGAAGCATGAGGAGTTTGAGGGGCTGACGGGACGCCATGATGAGGGATGTGCCAGGTTGCTGCGGTTGTCACGATTAGAAAAAAAAAATTTATGCAGATATTCTATAAGCTGTCCATCTATGCGAAAGTGAAACTGAATGCTTGATATCTCTTGGCCCTATCTCTAGAAAAGGTACCTCTCTAGCGCAGTTGGGAAACTCCCGCGCGATAAGATAAGGCGCGGCAACTTTTCCTTGCCTTGATTTTGGAGTCGCTCCACCACTTCTATCCATGATGTATCGGATTCGATCATCGTCATCCAACATCACCTAATCTCATCGACTGATCGCTTACTAGTTACCAATAATTTCCCACAACGTCTTCCCACTCATCACAAACACAGCACTGTCCATCTAGGTATCTATACCATCAAAATGAGCGCTGAACAGCTCGAATTCAACGCCGACCGCATCGACGCCAAAATGGAAGAGCTCCTCGCGTACGTATCTGCCTGCAAGCATCACCAACAAGCTAGCACATGCACGCCAATCGTCGATCATCTCATCTCAGCCTCACACCCAGCCTGAATCGATCGTCGCTAATATGCCAACTGTGCCAACAAAACAGATCCCTTGAGGCCCACCCGCAAATGCAGCCCCCCAACACCCACCCAACCATCTTCTTCCTCTTCGACTTCGTCCGCAACACCCACCGCGAGCTGCAAGGAATCGACATGGACAAGTTCCGCGCCGGTGACGCCAACGCCCGCAGCATGGCCCAGGACGTCCTCGGCCGGAACAACTTCACCAACACCCTCGTCAATGATACCACGGGTAAGCTGGCGCTGATGACCGGCGGCGATCCGAACAACCCCGTGGACTTTGGGGAGGAGATCCGCGATAAGGCGAAGGCGCTGGTTGAGGTTTAGGTTTAGGTTTAGGTTTAGCTTTGAAGTTCTCCCTTCGTTTTGAGTGTTCCGCCATTCCTCCGGGTATCGCTAGGGGGTGGGTAGGTCACTGGATGATGGATAGGTCACGAAGGGACAAGGAGCTGGTTCTTCTGCCCTAGTTCGCATCTCCATTGTTCCCGTCAAGGTCTAGGATGAGGAATGGTTCGAGACATCCCGCATGAAGCTTATACCAGGCTGATTACTGAACGGCCGAACTCTCCTTCACATTATAGTGTATGAGCAAGACGAACACGAATGGAACTTTGTATTGTTGCATAGTGTCGCTCCGCTGTCAATCGATGCAGCTTGCCTCTTATTCTGCAGTCAGTCAATAGTGTCATACTTGTAGTGTGCATGGGGAATCGTGGACTAGGTGGGGCAATATGGGGGCAACCGGGGTGATAATCGATAAGAAAGACGTGAGAAGGGGCGGGGCCGAGGACGACGACGGTATACCCGTAGCGAGGTAAGATTTACGAAGTGTGTAGCAAGTAGCACAAGACGAATGCGGAAACAAGTTCATTTACATGTACAATTACATGGGCGACACCAGAGGACTGAAACTAGGGCTTGAGATTCACTACAGCAGTCGAGACTAACTACAGCTTAGCTACAGAATAAACCGTAACCAACTGCAAGCTCTCCTGCCATGGACACTCGCTCCCGCATCATCCACCAGCAACATCGCCCGTCCTAGCGCCGCGCTGGCCACTCCAGAGTCCATCCACTGCCGTCAACGACGAACGCTCAGGTTTATCCGACATCTGGGTATCAGTGGCTAGCCAGACACGTGCAGATGTTGTTCGTTATCGTTCAAGAGGAGGAGCCCGTCATCGTCCGTGTCGTTTTTCCAGGGTAACCGAGATACAATCCGTTAATGAGAAGAATTGTCGTACAATATCAACAAGTGCGTGAGAACAAGTGAAAGAACAAAGTTAAGAAGCAACGAGTAGAAGATATGCAGAAACGGATTGATATAGTGTTGGACCGTGTTCATGTGCCAGATATCCGGAACTCCCCTCCATGAGAATAAAAGCTTAACAGATCGTCAATGCTTTTGGGTGTGGCAATTAACTGCCCGGTAATGCTTTTTTTTCGGATCGAACTTTGTAATTTTTTTGAGATTTCCCGCAAAGGGGGCGAGGACTCCATCTTCTATCTGCAATCTGCTCTCTCAAAAAAAAAGATTAATCCATCGTCGAAGAAGAACGCCACATTTCCCAAATCATCGCTCCGGCTTTGGTTGCGTCGTAATGTGACATTTACTTCCTCCGGAAGGAGCAGCCCTCAGTGAGTCTGGCCTTGCCACCGGTGGGCTGGCAAAGGACGGTCGAGCAGCCGGCGCAGACGACGACGGTCTGGGCGTGGGAGAAGACGGTGGTGATGGTGAAGCAGCCGGGGCACTTGACGTCCATGAAGAAGGAACGGGGAGCAGGCACAAGGGTCTATTTGTCGAAGCGATTCCCAACATCAGCCATCGGATCCGGGACCTTGGTGGAGAGGTGTGTATTTCGGTATCATACCTTAAGCTTGTGCTTGCGAGCCTCAGCCTGAGGAGTAGGGTTGAGGAGGTCGACCGCGAGAACCTATTGTGAAAGAAAGAAATTGTGTTAGCCGATGATACCTTGATGACATTTTGTGATGAAAACTGGTCCGGCGACGGCGAGCACACGACGGGCAGCAAGCTCGTAGTCTGTGCAGACGTCCAGCAGAACGGCTAGGGGATATCCCAAGGTGTTGCATGAAGCCGAAATGCAAGCAAAACCTACCATCTTGACGAGACAAAAAGTCGATCAGCGAAATGGATTGAAATGCTGCGCTGACGGAGATGGCCTGCTTGAGGGGTGTTGAAGCGAAAGAGGTGGTCTCGTGGAGATGGCGAAGTTTGAAGGGAATTCTCTGAGGGCGTCGCCCAGCCGGGCCCGTTTGGGGAGAATAGGGCTCAAACCCTCGCTTACCTTCCTCTTACTGGTAATTTTGACACGGCCCGTGTGCTCGTCCCATCCCCGCCCAAAGGGTAGCCAATTATATTGTCTGCTATGTCTGTTGAGGTATAGCTTAATCCCCATACCCGCTATTCCTGATTAGGTAGTGTTTTCGCCATCAAGGTCCCATCGTCGGCCTTCTGGATCTGTCCAGCTACTTCTTTTATGATGGCCTCAGAAGGGTCGATTCGTTATGGCTGCCTTCAGGAGTTTGGCAGAGAATAGCTTAATCCGTAACGTATCAAATTCATTAGAAAAGGCTGCTGTTGAATGAACCGCTAATCCAATTTCCGCATAATGTCAAACTCGTCATAGGCTGGTTTCCAGACCAGCTATAATATAGGCACCAGGTAGACTGTATGTACCTGAGGTATAGCTCAATAATCCAAATCGGTCTAGATGAAGCAAAAGTAACCCGACTGAACGGCTCTAGCGTACAATACAATACAGTGCGATCAGGGATTGCTGTCCCACTTAAAGTTCTTCGCCAAACATCTCCCCGTCGCGCATTGGCTGTTATATGTGATTCTGGCATAGTTGATATGCAGCTGAATGGTTGCAGTGGGCAGTTCTTGACCTTACAGGACTTTCTTGGGTTGCCCGTTAGCAACTGGCCGCTCTTCGACATGTGGATACTTGATGGACAAGCACCAAATGTCAATGTAATCACATATTGTAGTGATAACGTCGTGCTGGGGATCGTCAGTCTCAAGTATGATTCCTTATTGTCGGGCAGCAGAACGTACCACGAAACTTCCGTACACACCGATGGCCAGACCCAGACATCCGAAGAGATAGGCGACTTGACCGGATTCGCTCCCAAGAACACTCTGCCAAAGACCGAGCAAGGACGCAGCACCGTCCAGCACACCCAAAGCGAGAGGGACAATGCCGACGAAGATATGGGAGAAAGGGAAATCCGCTTTGATCAGGTGTGCAACAATCATGTTGCCCACAGCGTAGGCGTTGATCAAGCCCACTAACAGCATGAATGGAATCGTGTAGTGTTCCAGAATAGTAGGCTGCAAGTATAGGTAGACGGGGGCAAGCGTCCACATTGTGACCAGAGGGATCAAGCCATGAAGGGGTTTAACCGGGTCCTTTCCACGTTCAGCTTGAACCTTCATGACATGCACAATGCTGGACCCAGTGGCAAAGAAGAGGATGATGGCACCGTAGATCAGATACCACTGCGTAAAGGGCATCTCATACAAATGAGCGGGAATCACATCCAACTTGGGGACACCGATCGTCTCAAGCATGGGGCGGTGCCAGAAGCTGCCGCCGCCCTGGTAGGCAGTGAAAGCGAACACGGTGCACAGAGTCAAAACACCTTCAACGGGACCAGAGATGATTCCCAGAGTCAGAACTTGAGTATAGTATTCATCCCATGTCTGCACATAGAAGGTCATAGTGGCTAACCCGAATTAGTACTCCGATAGAGTAATTCTAGAAGGCAATATCGGCGTACCTCCGAAGAGACTCAGTATAGTAGCCCAGGTCTGACCAAGGTTCGTCACACCAGCAAAGATGATTACCCCGAGAGCCGTATTGCATGCATCGACACCTGCAGGGAAAGAGAATGAACATCGCGCTTTCTCTTCGTCCTTGAGGATCCCGGGCGACGATTCTACTTACTGTGGTCAAACAGCTCCCCAAGGGGGCTGCTTTGTCTTGTTCTCCGCCTGTGGACAAGACTCAGTCAATCTAGTCTACTAGCAGATGGGAAGGAGGACGGGAGTCCATACGCTTGCATGCCGTCTACTGCATCGAATGTCTGATACAGGAACAACCCAATGGCGCAACTGGCATAGACCCATGGAGGGCAATCGTGATCTAACGTTGGGTTGTACCATAATATGGTGATGAAGTTGATTACCACAAATAAGAACCCTGTCAGGGTAATCTACCAATCCTCAGTTTGGTCTGCTAAAGCTCGATCAGCCAGGAGGACTAGAGACTTACGGCATTAGGCCTAGATAGAAAGACGTAGAACACTACTGTTAGCTATGCCAGGCAACTGAAAGATTTTATATTTCAATGGGAGCGTAGCTACTCACGCCATGCCCATGGGGAAACAGTTGATCACGCATCGGTTATAGAACGGCTTGAGGACATATCGACTAATCAGCGAGTGATCCACTCCAGCATATCGATAAGCCTTGAGGTTTGGCAATTGATGCTGCCGAATGTAGGTCATCTTGTCGACCTTGCTCCAGCTCCGGGATAGTCTATGGGAAGTATGCTCAGGAGAGACGCTGCTTCGCTTTTGTTACGACCAGAGAGTAGCCAAGCCGGCGGTGAATCCTAAACTTCAAGTACAAAGAAAGTCGAGATAAACAGAGGAGGCCAAAACTTAAAGATCGAAAGTTCAGTGTATACTATAAAAGTAATGCATCGGTGGAACTCCCAGCAAAGTAATGGCGACGACGAGGGATATTGAAAAAGGACAGATGGAACGCTGATCTGGATTGTTGACGTTCCCTTTTAGCACCAAATTTCTGTCTTGTCTACTTTTTTTCTGCCGGCGGAAAAAACAGCCTTGAGGGCGGGATGCGGGGCCAAAGAAACCTACCGCATGTATTCGAACTTACGGTACTTTACGCGTAGGTTTCTTAGCTCAAGGTGCTCGGATGCCTTGGATGCATGAAGTCAATGAATCCACGAATGGCATAAATGGATGCATTTTCATTAATGAGGCATTCCCTATCAAGCCTGAACCGAGGTCGGTGTTAACCTACGCTGTAGAAGTGCAGTTGCGATTCCAGTATTGAGTGTCACGTGATTTTTGTATTTGGACTATGGCCAATTGGCCAAGTATTTTGCACGTGAAGCACTTATGGATACTACGCAGAACTAAAAGAGAGAGCAGCAAGCTATGAGCGAAACGGCGCCTGACTCAGCTTGTCGCAGCCCACAAAGAGCGGGGTAAAACTGGGGGAGACTAATCATAATCAGATGCTGCAGCAGTATGGAGTAAGCACTGCTGTGCCAAGTTGGCCACTGAGACACAGATTCTGTCTTGATCCGAGGAAACACATGCGGATGCAGGCAAAGCGAAAGAGAGAGAGAGAAAGGGCTCTCTAGGTAGATTGCTAAATACAACGTTGATGAAAATGTTAGGAACATGATAGATACATAGCTAAAACGCCATGGTGTGGTTTATAAGCTAAGTTGGTATAGTAGCAGAATACTGTGGAGGGCGTACAGAGCCACAGCGTGCCAGTGAAATCAGAGCCCGTCTCCATAAAGCAGCGGCCCTGGCAACTACCAATGGTCGACAGTCGCACTTTCTCGCCGCGCTCTTCAATTCAATCATGGCACTCTGAACCTTGTGCAGGAACCCAAGTCATGACGGCTCCGGTCGCTTGGCTACCACGACCTCAGAAGTGGACAACCTGGTCTCGTGATTGCAAGCTCTACAAATCCCCAATGCACGGATTCATTTAGCCAACCGGGCTCCATGGCATGGGGATCAGAATCCGGCTCTGCATGCTTTGAATGAGTGGCACCGTCTTGTGGACTGTCTCTGCCCAGCCTTCAATGCCCCAAGACTGCTCGCGACGGATCTTCCGCTCCTCCAGGTTCGCAAACTGCCAAAGGTGGTGCACCGTGTTCAGATCACCAATCTGGACGAACCATGCACCGACACCCTCCATAACTTCACGGCGCGCCCTCAAGCCGCGGCGCCAGTGTGTCTCCCACTCAAGCAAGTTTCCAGGGTGAAGGGTGTAGGACCGAAGCTCAAAGAGACCGCCGAGGCGGCGTGGAGGGGTTGTTGGCCAAAAGGAGAATTCCTGCATCAGGGACGTCTTCTTGCTCTTAATCAGACTCTTCAACTTGCGGTCAAATGCTGGGAACTCGGGATGTTGAGAAATGTTATGCAGAGAGGCATGATAGCCCTCGTAACGCTGGTACTCCCAAATGTGCACTACCGGAAGGCTACGTCAGCAACGGAAAGACTCAATAGACGGCTTCAACGGAAGGGGGCCCCATTGGCGATTTTTGGGTTCATAGAGGGAAATACCGAATGTGTCATTGTCTCCCACTTGCGTGCGCCAGCTTCCAACCAGATTAACCCTGTTTTCTTCGGTGTTGGCCATGCGGGGGTACCACTCGCCGACGAGAGCGACATATTCATCTACTTTGTCGGGTTTGACCTCATGGAAGACAATCGAATGGACGTATTTGCCGCGAGCGAGGACTTGCGAAAATGAACGCTCGATGTCCTTGTCGAAATGCTGGCCTTCCTTCGTTCCGTAAATAAGCGAAGACAAGGGGCCACGCTTGGGAGACTGGTTGGCTTCCGACAACTGCTCGTCTCCTAGAGAACGGTGGGTGGAAAGTAAGCCCAATGCCTTGCTATCAAGAACGTTGGCGGCATCAACAACAGGGCTAAGTTCACTGCTCGCATTGCTCGGTCGGGGAGCAGTGGAAGCGGTAGCGTACTCACGGAAGCGATCACGAATAGCAGGGGAAGCTGGGGTAGAACCAGAAGCATCGACAGACTGACTCTCTTGCTGTTCCCTCTTCTTGCGAGCTGCCTCCAAATTCTCGCGGAACTCCTTCTGACGCGCGTTAAATTCAGCGGCCGAGTCGGGTGTAATGTCACGGATGGAAGGAGCCCGATAGACGGTGGTAGACGAGCTGAAGGGCCGTACGAGCGACGACACCGGGCGGACAAAACGCGGGGCGAGCATATTGGGCTGAATGTACAACAAGATGAACAGGAAGACAACAAGGGGAGAATCAAAAGATTGGCAACTGAGGCACAGTGCAGGAATAGAGCAAATTAGTATGGTCTGACTGTGGATTAAACGACTCGGTTGGAGGGACAGTCGAGGGGGAAAAGGAAGGATTCACAAGGAGCAAAGACAGCAGAAACACAGACTGCGGTTGTTCAAAGAGGGGAAGCACAGAGAACAAGCAGGGATATGTAGTATTAATGAAACTGGCACGCGATCTATTGACGAAACAGCTTTAAATCTGGAAAGAGAGCTGCAGAGACACTGTACTTGGTACCTAGTCTGTGTGCAGGTTGTTGCACAGAGGCAGTTGCTTTTTGTGGCGTGAGAGTCAAGTAGCAAGCACAGTGATCAGCCAAGTGGATGTAGGAGCGGAGAAGCGCTAGTCACCCAATCAGACTGCTATGAATTGACCACAGATGCAGGTAATGAAACTGGTATATTCAGATGGCTGATACAGAATACTAGATGTGGTTAATTACTGATAGACCAATGATCGTGGAAGGAAATAAATGAGGTGGACAGGCGCGTTGAGGAGATGGTCTGCAACTGAGTGGAAAGAAGCTGGGGAAAGCTGCTTACTCTGAGACCGGAGTTCCTTAGGTTACCGTAGGACCTAGGGTAGCTAAGTACTGGAAGTGCGGGGAAACAAAGCCCACACAATGTACTGCCACTGCGGAGCAGGGATTGTACCAGCCTTAGGTAAACTGCAAGTAGGGTGTCGATATCCTGGGTAAAAGCCAGAGCTACAAGGGACACAAAATGTAGATAGATGTAAAATACTACTCTGTAGAGGTGGTTCTAGTTCTCAGTCCTGCTTGTGCTAGCTAGCTGAAAAGCCACTATACTAGAGTGATAACTGATGACGACAGTGGTGTATTTATGAATGTCCCCGCCCAGAATGTTCATCATGAATCGTGATAAATGTTTACTCTGAAGAGCTCCATCCCGCTTCTCTTACTGGTCTAACTTTGCATGTCAATTTGCCTCTACCGCAGACGCTCGAGTCGACAGCATCAGTTCCCATTTTGGCCCGGCCCGACCGTCCGAGGTTTGGTGACGTCGATGGGAAGCTCCAAGTTAGTCTTACTAAGGCTCTTACAGTAAGGTGTCAAGGCAGCTCCATCCATCGGCGATCCGGGCTCGGCCGCAACCAGTCAAGATCACCGCCACAGCAGCTTCTCCCTCTTCATTGCATTCCCCTCCACCGAGATATCCCACTTGGCTGTGTACCGCCTAAGGTAGCACAGTGATCAATACTCTGATCTGGTATTCCTTTCGCCAGTAAAGGAAATGCTGAGTGCATCACCAATTGTTTGAATTCTTCAAATATATTTCATCACAGCACAATGACGGATTCTTTGAATCCACCGCTTTCATACGAGGCTTCGGCCACCACCACTCATCCTCTTGTCGCAACTACTCTCCCTTCTGAGGTAATTGCGTGTCTGAAAAACTCCAGATTCGTACGTTGCTCCTCTCCTTCGCCGATTATTGCGTTCTCTTCGTTCAATATTGACTGACTGATTCTGAACAGCTCCACCTTGCAACTTGCGATGGCCTTACTCCCCACATTTCTCTCATGTCCTACACCTATCTGCCGTCAACCCCCTTTGATCCATATCCGACAATCATTATGACAACGAATCCTTCGTCACGCAAGACGAACCATCTCATGACCAATCCGCGAGTCTCTCTTTTAGTTCATGACTGGGTGTCTCACCGTCCTCCCACCCGCGCTCCAAATCCCAGTGGGCAACGCGATGGTTCCCCGCCGCCCGTTGCAACACGGTCGTCCTTGGCTAGCCTGCTCCTCAATCTGAACACCAGCGCACTATCCAGCATTTCGACAACTATCACTGGTACCGCCCGATTTTTGGAACCTGGTTCGGAGGAAGAAGCCTGGTGCAAAGAGAGACATCTGGAGAACAACACTTTCGAAGAAGAGCTGGGTATGTTCGGTCAACAGCAGCAGGCTGCTGGTCAACGGAGGCCCAGTCTATCAATTGACAATGACGTACGGGTTGTCACGGTCCGGGTAAGAGAAGGTCGCATTGCAGATTGGAAGGGTGGCGTACGGGATTGGAAACTGGTGTCTGAAAGCGAATCACACGCCGACGAACCACTTGTCAACGGGACCGTGACTCCATAGGCTCGGCCATTCGGCTCAGCACCTTGATGAGGAGTGATCGGTTTTCTGAGCAGCCGGTGCGACCTTTCCACAAAGCTGATTATGCGGCACACTGGGTTGTTATGAGCACATGGCCTTGCATACATACTCTTTTTGATCTATGTCCGTTGAAAGTCTGTCTTCAGCAATTAGGCTTCTCTAGCCGTAAACATGTATTTTAGCTGCGAAAGACGGAGAATCATATGTCTTTGATCGCAAGCACAATTGTAAATCTTGTACCTCGCCAAAGTTATCCAGTAGGCTGGTTTGGTCATCACATGATCTCACGTCACAAGGGATCTATCTTATCAAAATCGAAGCTTCACACCTCCGACGGGATTCGGTACTTAGTCTTCTATATCACTCTGTCCGATCCCATTAGTCTCGCAACTGACCCAATTTCCGTTCCTACCATTACGCATGATGCTTTCATCCAGGCGCAATTGCATCTAATCTCCGTCTCAACTCAATTGCAAGAACAAACCACCACAAATACGTCCAACCATGAAGCTTGCACACCTTCATTTCCCCGACATCACCTCCTTCACCCGGGTCGCCCATCTCCAGCAAATCCTCACCAACCGTCTTCTCGCATACAAGCGACTGGGCTCTCCGGCAACCGCAGGCACAGGAGCGATACAGCCTAGCGGGACAAATTCCCCACCCCCAGATCCCACCATCATAACCTTCACCCCGAACCCGGTCTACACAACCGGCCGCCGAGACCTCCCACCCTCCAACACCGCCCCTTCCTCGCCATCCACGCCTCTCTCCCTCCCGCCGTCCCTGGAACCCATCCGCTCCATCCTCACCGCACCGCCCAATGGCTCGCCCAGAGCAGAGTACCATCCCACCCTGCGCGGGGGGCAGACAACCTACCATGGGCCCGGGCAGATGGTCGCATACACGATTCTAGATCTGCGACGGCTGGGCTTGACCCCGCGGTGCCATATCCGCTTGCTCGAGAATAGTGTCATCGATGTTCTGCGCGGGTATGGCATCCAGGGATTTGTGACCGAGGATCCGGGCGTGTGGGTGCGGCCGCGGCCGGCTACGAACACGGCTGCGGCGATGGCTGTGTCTGCGGGTGGAGATGGGGATGCAGATGGTGTTCTGCCTAAGAAGATCACCGCTGTGGGGGTTCATCTCCGTCGGAATATCAGTAGCTACGGGATTGGGTTTAATGTGACGGAGGAGCCGATGTGGTATTTTCAGCAGATCGTGCCGTGTGGGCTTGAGGGGCGCGAGGCCACGAGTCTGGTGGGCGAGGGTGTGCCGGGTGTGTCTACCGGAGAGGTTGCGGACAAGTTTGTGGATGCGTTCGTACAGAGGGTGAATGCGGATTTTGCATGTGGGGGGCGTGCAACTGGGGAGAAGATCGAGGGTGTGTATAATGTTCGGGAAGAGGATCTCCTTCAACAATAGAGAAAAGAGAACAAAAGGTTCAGTGACACTGGTGTACATTATTTCAATCTGTCATAGTAGTGTTGCAATATCCACCCAATAAATAGACTTCGACATAGTCATCACAGTTGGAAAGGTACCTAGGTGTACGCGTGTTCTGCAAGAACATTAGGAGGAATGAAGTCGCCACCTTCGTTAATCACTCCAAGGATATGATACCAATCATAGAAGGAAAAGAAATCAAGTAGACAAGGCAAGAAAATCAAATGCTCCACAATCCGTACTCGGGTATACCTCTTGATAATCACGTACCCAGAAATCATTAGGAATAAGGAAATAGGTGTCGAAAAGTATATATAGAGAAGAGAAGCTGTCGAAGGATGTCACACTGAAGCGCTGAAATGGCCCCAGAGAGGCCAAATGAGTAGAAAAAGTGTAGGGTATCTGTGAACACCAGCCATGATATGCGACTGACTCGCATGAGTCAAAACGAGCCGATTGATAGAGGGCAAGTCGTCATGCAAACGGGATTGTGAATCGGACCGATCGATCTGAAGGTGTTCCTCAGCGCATGGAATGAGTCATTCAGAGGATAATGCACTGTCCCTTGGACCCGCTGGATCCTGCAGGCTTCACATCAAGAGCGACCTTGGCGGCTTCATAAAAGGTCTCCCTGATACCGCGATTCTGAACAGCAGAGCATTCTATCATATCATCAAACATCAATAGCTGATCGCCGACTCATCGTTGGAGAGTCTCTCACCAAGATATTTTACAGCGCCGATTTCCTTTGCTTTCGCTAATCCTTGTTCGAATGTGATAGCGTTCGGGTTGTCGTTCAACTCGTCGTCTTTTCGCAGATCGCATTTGAGTGCCGTGAGGACTAACTTCACGCCGGGGCAATTCTCGCGAATCTCATCAATCCATTTTGTCGCCACATTTTCGAACGAGTCGGGGCTATCGACCTGCACAAGAGAAGCACATGGTCAGGCCTTGTCTCCAATCTTCTTCCCTCCAGATGCAGCAGGAGCCTCACGCTGAAACATAGCATTATAACATGTGTATCCTCGTAGGACAGTGCCCGTAATCGATCGAATTCTTCTTGACCGGCTGTATCCCACAGCGACAACTCCATGTGTACGTTGTCGACGAAAATGTCTGGAACGAATGAGTACCTTTCGACCGGCGTTGTGCGAAATAGGAAGAATACCGTGGACATAGTTTTCTACCAAAAAGCAACTGTTAGAAGCTACCGACTTTGCAGCAGAGGAACGCGCTCACCAAAAACAGTCGGCTCACTATCAGAGTTGTAAAGGTTAACACTGGGTTGATGGCCGGGAAAAGAAAAGCTCACTAGACTGTCGGGAAGAACCTATCATCATGGTTAGCAAATGCTCGATACGTCGGTATGTAAAGCCATTGATCGAGCTGCTGACCCTCTTGTAAACACATTCAAAGCTGACGTCTTGCCGCAAGCACCATCTCCTCTGTAGTCGAAGTCAGTCAGTCAGGCAGCTGCCCCCTGTGATTAGACTTGAGCCGTATGCAAACTAACAAGAGTACCATCTTGCGCTGGACAACTTTCTGGCGCCCGCACAGCTCCATTTTGTAACGCAGTTTCGAGGATCCCTTGGTGATGTGGAGGGAGGAATTGGATAAGGGGGGTTAAATTGGGGTAAAGTCAAGTGACGGCAGGACGGATGTATATACCAAACGGAATAGGAGAATAAGACAGCGAGAAAGTAAGAATGCTAATCAAGGAGTGTTGAGCGAGGTATGTCGCCCCTAATAATAAAAGCAATCCGAGTACGGAGTAGAATAGAGTTGCTAACTTGTCAGTTATCTACATTAAGAATCGAAGGCGGCGCAAGTCATGCCTCGTGGACCGTGCAGGGTCGATGACATCGGATCCTCCTGCAGAGCTGGCAATCCACGAATAGGACAATTGCCATCTGCCAAGAGGCTTAACGTTGATTCCGTTTCCCACGGTACATACCTCGACCATAGCCCCTGAACCTATCTCCAGGTAGTTAGGGATCAATGATCGAATTTCAGTTACTAAAGGTCCATTTTCAATAGCCGCGTTGATGCTCATGCTGAGTCGCTAGTAAATCAGAGCCAGAAGCAAGCACCGCGTGTTCTTGTATCAACAACTCAGGCATGGTAGCACGACAATCGACAGCTATGATTCAAGGTACTTCATATGTGTGACTGTGCAAGTATTCACATCATCTCAATGGTCTGAAGTCTTACTCCACTGTGTGATCCACTGCTGGATCTCTAGACTCAGTATTCAGTAGAGTCAGTGGCTCAGTGTTCTGGAAGCTGGATCTAGCTTCCGGAGCTTCATATTCGTCAATTCGGATTGAGGCGAACTGAGGAATCTATACATAGTGTGAGCATGGAATATGTATGCACGCGTTCTGTTCGAGGCATCTGAGATGCTTTGCGGTCCGACAGCGCTGTATATCACTTGACCGTAAAAGAGACTCGAGTTTAACGTCCCCAATTCACAGATTCAATTGTAAGCTTGGTATCTCCAACGACAGCCCCTGCGATGCAGTACTCTTAAGGTCGTGTTATTGGGTATAATAACCATTATAAGCTACTCTATACGGAGTACTGATGAGAATCATGGACCAACCCCAGCAGATAAGACCCAAAATAAGCGGTACAGAATGCAAAAAAGTCGCTCAACATGTTTCTATGTATATATCTGGATATTATTTTGAACGACCGCCGATAATGTTCGAAACAATTAAATTACTAGTTAAGTGTCGGAGCCAATATCTGTCTAGCGCGGGGGCAGCAATTGTGCCCCAGGCTCCGAGGCTCCGATAGGCGCGGGAGCTCAAGCCCAGTCCCAGAAGCTCTTTCATCTACGGAGTACCTCTCTACTATCATCCTTTTAACGACTGACGCCGTTTGCTACGTTGACCCTTTGAGTCCCCGCATTCCTAATTTCATCACTCCATTAGTATTTAGACACCTATTTCGACTCTCTTCCGCTCGACCACCGCTCTTTTCGCAATGTCTGACGATGATGACTTCATGCAAGACTCCGGTGACGAGGAGTATGCCACACTCATCCTCCATGCGACCTCTTCCGTGCTAGCTAACTGACGATGATCTAGGTATGATTTTGAATATGAAGACGCAGACGAAGATGAGTCGGGGGACGTCGGAATCGAGAACAAATACTACAATGCCAAACAGATCAAGATCGACAATCCGGAGGAGGCCATAGATGAGTTTCTCGGTGTACCTGCAATGGAGGAAGAGAAAGGCGATTGGTAATGACGTCTTGCTCTACTTGGATCGATCGGCTGAGCCAAAATCACTGATAACCTTGAAGGGGCTTCAGAGGACTAAAACAAGCGATTAAGTTGGAGTTCAAGCTTGGGAGGTATAGCGATGTAGGTCATCGGTCTTCGGCAGTCGCCCTGTCTCGACGAAGGCTGATTACTCCCAGGCAGTCGAGCACTATCGAGAGCTCCTTACCTACGTTAAATCCGCTGTCACTCGCAACTACTCTGAAAAGTCAATCAACAACATGCTCGATTACATCGAAAAGGCTTCGGACGACGACAGGGCATATCAGTGCATGGAAGAATTCTACTCCCTAACCCTCAACTCATTTCAGAACACGAACAACGAGCGCCTGTGGCTCAAAACAAATATCAAACTGGCGCGCCTGTGGTTGGAGCGCAAGGAATATGGGCAACTGAGCAAGAAAGTGCGGGAGCTGCATCGTGCGTGCCAACGAGAGGATGGCTCGGATGATCCCAGTAAAGGGACATATTTGCTTGAGCTGTATGCCCTGGAGATTCAGATGTACGCCGAGACAAAAAACAACAAACGGCTCAAGGCGCTATATCAGCGCGCTCTCCGCGTGCGCTCGGCCGTACCGCACCCCAAGATCATGGGTATCATCCGCGAATGCGGAGGCAAAATGCATATGAGCGAAGAGAACTGGGAAGAGGCCCAGAGCGACTTTTTCGAATCATTCCGAAACTACGACGAAGCAGGCTCGATGCAACGAATTCAAGTGTTGAAATACCTTGTCCTCACAACGATGCTGATGAAGTCCGACATCAACCCCTTCGATTCGCAAGAGACGAAGCCTTACAAGAACGATCCGCGTATCTCAGCCATGACAGATTTGGTCGATGCATTCCAACGGGATGATATACATGCGTACGAAGCGGTCTTGAGCAAGAACCCGGACGTTCTGGCGGACCCTTTTATCGCGGAAAACATTGACGAGGTGAGCCGTAACATGCGTACGAAAGCTGTCCTCAAATTTATCGCCCCGTACACGCGGTTTTCGCTCAGTTTCATCTCCAAGCACATCAAGATATCCGTCCCGGAAGTACAGGATATCCTGAGTTACTTGATCCTTGACAAGAAGTTGAATGCCAAGATTGACCAAGAAAACGGAACTGTTGTTGTTAAAAGTGCCAGCGATGTGGATCGATTGCGTGCCCTTCAGGAGTGGAGCGCGTCGCTCCAAAGCCTCTGGCGGGCGACATTAATCGACGGCGAAGGATTCAAGAGCGACGACCCGGCACAACTTCATGGGATGAGAGGGGGTTCGATGCTCCAATCAGCGTTTGGAGACGAGACGCCTACCGCGGGTTTACGTGCCAGCAACTTTCGAGTACGGACAGGGTGGAAGGGCAAGGGAGGACAGGGTTCCAAGGCCGGGGTAGGAGCCTTCTAGCCTTGGGACTGAAGGGGACACTATCTCCGCGAAACAATACCGGTTATGACCCCTGTTTACCGTATCTAGCGTGCAGGAGAACTGGCAGAAATGGAAACAGAATCTTCCCGAGCTAAGGAATAACTAAGTAGCACTAAGTACGGGGTACTCCATAGTCCTATGCCCTAGGCAGTAGATGATCAACCGGCGGGTAATCAGGGACACGCAAGTGTTAGATGCTAGATAGATAGTCTACGGAGTCCGTAACTATCTAATGCGATATATATACGGGTGAGTGGTAACTGTCGGTGATTCGCTTCTTCTGACTCCCGAGTTGATCACCCGATGCGTTTTGGCAGACTTGCAGAGGAGTCCACCAGCGGGGGATCCACACTTTTGATTCTAGATTCAGTAATTTGACTCTTGACGAGCCCGAGGGAAAATTGAGAACCAGTCCACGGGAGGAGACCACGGGAACAAACGGCTGAAGCATCGAGCAGCTTTTTTCAAGCACCTATCTACAGACTATACTACAACTAGACTGCAGACTGCAGCGGTTAATATCGTAGCCGAAGGTACGATGCAACTGTATGACGATTGACGACAGACACTTCATTCTGTGGAGATCGGACAATTCATCTTCTGTGGAAGTTTACTCTGTAGAAGGATTCGGGATGCGATGCGGGCACTTACCGCTTTAAGTCTTAGTCGAGACTTGATGAAGCGGTCCGCGCTGATCTCTTGTCTACCTATCCTCGATGCTTGCTCTCTCTGCGGATTATGATTTGATGGAAAAACTGGGAGCCAACTTATCAAAGACGTCTACCATAGCTTCCCGGGTACTCCGTAGTCTAGGTAGTATCAAACAATGTCTGCCACTCACCGGACGGGACCTCCCATGTCAATCATTCAAACGGTGTACGGAAGTACACGCTACAGGGGACTTGCTACGTACACATGCGCCACGGAGTGTACTTGCTACCTGCATCATCCGGCCGCCTTGTTCCCCCCACCTTGACAACAGTACTCCGTACCTCATTCCTGTACTCCGTGCGTAAGGTACGGACTCTATTCGCACACCGTCTCTGTACCTACAGAGAGTTTCCCGTTGGGAACTCCGCCAGATGTAGAGTACTTTTGCCAATTGGCGGTCTGCGAGACGCCACGGTCCAGAAACTCACCGTTGCCCTGACTTTTCGGTGCGGCCCCGCTCTTACCGAAACCTTCAAATCCCGCGTCAATTCATTAATATGATTGTTAAGGATCCACTATCTACCTACTTATCTATTAATCCACTTTGGCCAACGTGATCACCTTGGTCGTCGTGTATCTAGACAGATGGTGGAAGTGGATCGACCATCGATTGTTCTTTGAAGGGGAGTAATTTCAGGCATGGTTCATTTAGCTTGGTGTGGCAAAACTTTGGACAGGTGTTGATCGGATTGAATGCGAACATATTGCTATCTAATTACTGTTTTAGAGAGGTAAATACAGGACTGTACCTGATAGAGAACAATGGATGGGTTCGCACTTTGGTTGCCGAGAAATCTCCGCGTATATCAAATAATAAATAAATGTCAAATGAAATCACCGGTGAGCCTGACGGAAATAATATTTGGCTTTCATATTGGCAGGGGTACAACAAAGAAAAATGAAAGCTGGGTTCTCTAGACAGAGAAAAAAAAAAGATAAGATAATAAAATGGAGATCTACTATCGATATGTGCAGCGTAAAAGTACCCATACATGTTGTACTTTGTTGTAGATTGATGCGTGGGAGCTGCGGTTGGATTTTCAACAGCAACACGAGAAAGTGCTGCCTCACAGGCGTTAAGATGTCCAATATTAAGTGGATGCCATGTGCATGAAATGAACAGCAATGAAGTAAAATTAGAGCAATGTGT